CTAGCTAGCCATGCACCATACGTTTAGCTCCCTCGTCTGAATACACTGCTTAGTGCTTACACAGCCATGTTAGCTCCCCTAGGACCCTCTCTCTATTTTAGCTCATTTTCTTCCTGTTGAGGTTGCGCTTGTGTTCATTTCCCTCCATTTTAGCTCATTTTCTTCCTTTTGAGGTTGCGCTTGTGTTCATTTCCCTCCATTTTAGCCCATTTTCTTCCTGTTGAGGTTGCGCTTGTGTTCATTTCCCTCCATTTTAGCTCATTTTCTTCCTGTTGAGGTTGCGCTTGTGTTCATTTCCCTCCATTTTAGCTCATTTTCTTCCTGTTGAGGTTGCGCTTGTGTTCATTTCCCTCCATTTTAGCTCATTTTCTTCCTGTTGAGGTTGCGCTTGTGTGTATTGTTGCCCGTACAAGAGGTTTGGGTACACTGGGAAAACAATGCAGTAGCCTAATACCTACTACTAGTACTAGTGCTGGCCTACTATACGTACTAGTGGCCTACTATACGTACTAGTGGCCTACTATACGTACTAGTGGCCTACTATACGTACTAGTGGCCTACTATACGTACTAGTGGCCTACTATACCTACTAGTGGCCTACTATACGTACTAGTGGCCTACTATACGTACTAGTGGCCTACTATACGTACTAGTGGCCTACTATACGTACTAGTGGCCTACTATACGTACTAGTAGCCTACTATACGTACTAGTGGCCTACTATACCTACTAATAGCCTACTATACCTACTAGTGCCGGCCTACTATACATGTACGTACTAGTACATGTATGTCTGAACCAAAAGTGAGCGTACTCCTAGCAGATCTTGTACAATGTAGATAGTCGCTGCACTTGCGGCTTGGGAAGACGAACAAACAGGGCAGCTGTTTTTGCTTATTGTGTCCCTAAACACGTCAGCTGGTGCGGTGGCGAATCCAGAGAACTACATGTACACTGATGGAACTGTTACTTTTTATCACTTTGTCTGCAGCCCCCAGTCTCTAGACTCAGCGGAAACATTACCTGGCTGGCTGGCATGTTTTGTTGTGTACATACTGGACATCATAATTCAGGTACCCAATGCTGTAGGTATGTTCAATATGTATTCACTGGTTTGAAGGAAAAGTCTGAAGAAAAAAATAATTATTGTGAAAAGAAGAAGGACAAAATGTTACGAGTTATGACTAACTGTCCACCAACCTTACCAGATCTTATACAGTCAGCGAGTTCGAAAAAATGGCACACAACTGACAAGGAGTACTGAGACATCCGGCGACCTGACACCTAGCTCCAACACTTCTCCAAGGCGCAAACCACAATTGTCACAATTCGTCTTCGCTTAGCTTCCCCTTTCGGCTTTCCACGCTTATTACATACACTTGAGCCTTCCAAGTTGGGTGGTCTGTTGCTTTGGGTCGTCGAGTTGTAGTAAGGCCGGTATGTCCAATAGTCTTACAAGTTTCGTCATCATCCAGTAACTTTCGCCATTCTTTGTTGCCGTGATGCGTAGCTCGTGCTCTTCTTCGTTGCGCTTTCCTTCCCCTCTTGGACCTTTCCGAACCTGAGCCTTCCGAGTTGGAAGGTTGTTGGTTTGCGCCTTGGAGAAGTGTTGGAGCTAGGCCAATAGGTGTCAGGTCGCCGAATGTCTCAGTAGTCAGTACTTCTTGTCAGTTTTGTGCGGCACTTCGTCGCACTCGCTGACTCTACATGTATAAGATCTGGTTACCATGGTTACGTTGGTGGACAGTTAGTCATACATGTTACTCGTAACATTTTGTCCTTCTTTTCACAATAATTTAATTCACGGCTCACCATCCGAGTTAAAAATAATAATTACCGTAAAGTCGCGGATAAAAGCCGGGTTTGCATACAAGCACATCGCGGATAAAAGCCGGGTTTGCATACAAGCACATCGCGGATAAAAGCCGGGTTTGCATACAAGCACATCGCGGATAAAAGCCGGGTTTGCATACAAGCACATCGCGGATAAAAGCCGGGTTTGCATACAAGCACATCGCGGATAAAAGCCGGGTTTGCATACAAGCACATCGCGGATAAAAGCCGGGTTTGCATACAAGCACATCGCGGATAAAAGCCGGGTTTGCATACAAGCACATCGCGGATAAAAGCCGGGTTTGCATACAAGCACATCGCGGATAAAAGCCGGGTTTGCATACAAGCACATCGCGGATAAAAGCCGGGTTTGCATACAAGCACATCGCGGATAAAAGCCGGGTTTGCATACAAGCACATCGCGGATAAAAGCCGGGTTTGCATACAAGCACATCGCGGATAAAAGCCGGGTTTGCATACAAGCACATCGCGGATAAAAGCCGGGTTTGCATACAAGCACATCGCGGATAAAAGCCGGGTTTGCATACAAGCACATCGCGGATAGAAGCCTGAAAATCAAACGGGTCAAATGCATATCATACATGTATAACTATAATAAGCCTGTCGCGCGTACTAGAAGCCTGGCTTCTATGCAAGCGCGGATCGGGTAGGTCAAGAGTGCATGCGCTGTGTACAGTGCATAGTAAAACTGCGGCCGATGTGCATACAGGCCTGGCAAAAATATCAGTGGTGCATAAGCATGGTTTGCTGGTTGAAACTTTGCATACAAGCCTGGTTTGCATTGAAGCCTGATGCAGAAAGCGGCTTATGTGCTTATAAGCCCGGCTTTTATCCGCGACTTTACGGTATGTACATATTGATATACATGTACAACATATTGATATACATGTACATATTGATATACATGTACATGTACATATTGATATACATGTACAACATATTGATATACATGTACAACATATTGATATACATGTACATATTGATATACATGTACATGTACATGCGACAAGCGGCTTTCCACACAATACTACCTAACTTTAGCATACTAGTACTAGTACTAAGGAAGAACACCAAAGATACAAGGGGTGAAACTCGACGATGAAATCAAAATGAAAATGAAAATTTGAAAAAGTCTTATCCAAAGAAACTCAAGGCAGATGTAAGATTAAACAAGGTTGTGTAAAAGATTCAACTCAATCCGTAGATGAATGCTTTGAAAGATGCAATGTGCATGAATGATTCACGCTGAGATTTTGGTATGTACAGGTTCCTGCACGAGTATGAGGGCAGTACCGCGGAATCCAGCCCGCGCCGCGATAGCGGCAAGGGCTGGATGAGCAGCGGTACTCGTACTGACCGAGTATGAGTGACTGGAACGTGTTTCCCGTATGCACCCAAGCCAAGGAGATCACTCACAATATTGGACGTTTGAGTTTACATGAACCATTCTGTGACTCGACTCGAGTCCTGTAATGGCTGTATGGCTGCTGTGACTCTGTGTGACCGTACACGGACAACAGTACATGACTTTTGCATGTACTTTCAGACCACAGAAGCTTGTCATTGAAATGGTAGACTCATGAGTGGATTCTGTCCACTGCCCGTCGTCAAGTGACGACGGGCAGTGGATTCTGTCCACTGCCCGTCGTCAAGTGACGACGGGCAGTGGATTCCGTCCACTGCCCGTCGTCACTTGACGACGGGCAGGGGAACTAGTTCCATCACCATTCATCACGCAGGATCGCGCTTTCCAGCCCGCGTAATCTGATCTGTCATTGGTCGACTCCAAGGCGACAGTCATGTGACATACGGGAAATAGTCATTATGACTGTACGCGGACAGAACTAATTATTTCGTCCTTTGTGGACTCGCCTGTAGTATGAATACTTTCCCGTATGTCACATGACTGTCGCCTTGGAGTCGACCAATGACAGATCAAATTACGCGGGCTGGAAAGCGCGATCCTGCCTGATGAATGGTGATGGAACTAGTTCCACTGCCCGTCGTCAAGTGACGACGGGCAGTGGACGGAATCCACTGCCCGTCGTCACTTGACGACGGGCAGTGGACAGAATCCACTCATGAGTCTACCATTTCAATGACAAGCTTCTGTGGTCTGAAAGTACATGCAAAAGTCGTGTACTGAGTCTGTAGTCCGTGTCCGGTTGTCGAAGTCACTCTCACTCAGCTCACACTGACACAGCCTCATACAGCCATACAGGACTCGAGTCAAGTCACAGAATGGTTCATGTAAACTCAAACGTCAAAGATTGTGAGTGATCTCCTTGGCTTGGGTGCATACGGGAAACACGTTCCAGTCACTCATACTCGGTCAGCACCGCTGCTCATCCAGCCCTTGCCGCTATCGCGGCGCGGGCAGGATTCCGCGGTACTGCCCTCATACTCGTGCAGGAACCTGTACATGACATTGTCATGCTAGCGTATGACAGACTCAGTCTGAGTCTTTCTGACTGCAGGCATCATACTGAAGTTCTTACACACTCAACAGAGGGGCACGTGGCATGTGGACCCATGATACCAGGCCACAGACAAAAGATAAGAAGACTAGTCTTTGGAGATTGGAGAATACTAGTTTACTGAAATATCAGTACTGCCGGTTGACGCGAATGACGGTATCGCTTGACCGACACTGCTGTACTGCGACAGTGTTCGACTGTATTTCCGGTGTACAGCTGTAGTATGCGCACTGTGACCAGGTGACAGTGAATCCCCAGCTCAGATGGCATTGCAAATGCAACAACTCAGAACAGCAACAACAACAGTCCACGCTCACAGGGCAGTAATAAACGGACGTCGACTGGGCCACCAGCTAACTCGTTCTGGTCTCACCTCAGCTGTATACATTGTATACATGTAGTGTAGCTCGAGACGGAGGCGAGAGCATGCATGCAGCGTCCTTCAACTTACTTCAAGGAGAAAAAAATTATTATTTTGCCCACTGGCACTTGTGCATGCACTGCCATGAACGTGTGCAGACAGACTGTCGTGTCGTTCTGCTACAAGTTGAAGTACAACTACTGTCACTTGTCAGTGCTGACTCTAGATCTCTGTAGACCATGGTAGACGGAGTTGTACAGACTAGCTCACCTCATGTACTACTGAGTACTACTAGTACTACTTACTAGGACTTGGCCGGCGAGCGCACATTTTACTACTGCCACTACCGACTACTGGCATTCTTCTACTAGTACTAGTAGTAGCTAGCTAGCGGTAGATGAATGACTCCCGGAAGGGAAGGGTTGCGTTCGTGAAACATCATAGGTTCAGGATCTACAGCTGCCAGTGACGTTGACCGACTAGCACTCGGGACTGTGCGGGAGAGAGAAAAATAACCTCATCCGAGTTTTTGAAGTTGAACCATTGGGCATTGCATTCGCCCAGCTAGTTTGTCTGGAAGAACCGCTAGAGCAAGTCAACCGTGAGTTTGAGGTAAAGGTTGTGGGCTGCGAGCCGCCAGTAGATCTACTACTCTGAAACATCGCGCAAGAATCAACTTTGAAAGAACGTAACCATTCGAGACTAGGAGTGACTTGTGGACAGGTGCTGCCGGGCGCTGCTGCTGTGAAAGAAGCGTTTGTGTGTCAGTCAACGCTAACGGCGCTTGACGTTGGGTGGAGATTGAGTGTTGTCAAGCCTCGCTTGGAGTAACACTTCATGGCTGTTTACTAAACTGATATCTGACGCGGGTGCTCCGTGTGACCGGTACAACGTGTACGCTGGGACTGCGCTGCTGCTCTCAATCAACAGCTAGCGATGGCCAGAAACGTTGGCAGAAAGGAGCTTTTACTGCGGAAGGATGACTATGAGCGGCAGAAGAACGTGCCATTAGGTATGCAGCTTGGTGTAGCACGTGAAACTGGGCAGGTTGCGCAGAACACAACTGTGCATATCCGCGTGGCCGAAGCAAAGAACCTTCCGGCCAAAGACATGTAAGTCCAGCATATCGAGTACGACACCCTGCAGAGTCTACACGTGCTAGTACTGAGCCTGTAGTGAGTACTGTCTGTAGACTGGAGTAGATCTACCACTACCACTACCACTACCAATAGGCCTACCAGTACCACTATCACTACCACTAGGCACTACCAATAGTACAGCACTACCACTAGGCACTACCACTACCACTTCCACTAGGCACTACTACAAGATTTGTACATGTCAGTGACATAGTGAGTGCGTTCCATTACACGCAGGAATCGATTCATGAATCGATTTGAGCTATTCACATCACCCCATGTGAATAGAGGGAATGGATTCCGAATGGATTCCAGGGCTCATGACATGAAATCATGACTTGAATGCATGCAAATGGATTCATGAATCGATTCAAGTGTGTAATCGAACGCACTCGTGAAATCCAATGGGACGACTGGGGGCGGCGCTCTTGCAGCAACTACATGACATTGTACAACTTACAAGCACTGTTACTTTGTCTTGCTTTACTGGCAGTACTGCTTTACTAGCGCATACATACACTGAGTGTACTACAGTATTATTATTATTACTATTTTAAATTTTACACTGAAGTTACGAGAATGGACTCGGCCTTTTCGTGCTGATATCACCAAGCAAGCTTGGCTAGTCTTCGTTCAGGCCAACTGGAATGAAGAATGAGGAACGAGCGGCACACACTGTACAAATCAGGGAGCAGTAACATTGTATTACTGGACAGGCAGAAAATTTGGTCGGTCAATACTTTCGTAGAACTCCAATGAAAGGGAGTTCGTTCGGTTGAAAATTTAGTCCATGGACCATAAGAGTGTATTGAAAAGCTGGACAAATGGGCATTTAGTCCGGCATTTCCTTTAGTCCAAAGATACTTGGACGAAAATGAGGAAATTAAATTCCAGACGAATATTTCTGTTTATACAGTACTACTCCGTGGTAAACATGAACCCACATGACATGTGCTCACGGCTGCAAGGCCAGCCAGCCCCCCCCCCCCCCCCCCCCCCCCGGCCGCTTGACTTCTCAACGGATTTCAATGTGTGTGTGTGGGGGGGGGGGGGGTAGTAATAGTAGCAACAGTTCGTCTATTACATCAGTACTGCCTGTAGTGCCTGTAGTGTAGGCTATGTTCTGTACTACAGTGAAACGGCTTATTTTAGCGACGGGGATATTCTAACGACTTAAGCGAAAGGAGTGTTTTCACCAAAAAATTTGCCGCGCTGGTCAAAAATTTGCATGTACAGTACAGTGCTAGTCCGCATCCTTCTTTTTAAATTCTGAAACTCAGATTGCTAAAAATAACTCGGATGGTGAGCCAATATAATTATGATAAATTATGATAACCTACGTGGAGATAATAATTTTAATATAGCTATGAATAGGATGAAGGCCGCAGACATCACGCAACTACGTTACTTGTTTGACATGTATTACTGTGTATTTTATAACAAAAATATTATTGAAAACCCAGAATCGATTTTCTCGTTCCTATCATCAATGGGAAAAACGGAACTAAGGATACAACCAAAGAAACTGAAGTTAAGTACATAGCATAGAGCAAGAGCTGGCTGGTAGGCGATTTGGCACTCTGCTTTACAGGTGTCTGAGTTGGCGTTTTGGGAGTTTGTTGATCCCTGCTGTAGCCCTTCACATTCTGTGGTGTGTTGGGCTTTGCCTGCTGAATTTTGATAGAGGTATTGTGGACTGGTCCATTGTAGTTTGGAGGCAGCTGTTTAGCTTTGTTCAGGCTGGCCATTTTCTGTTCCGTGGTTGTGTATCTCGCCTTGCCTTGCGTTCTCCTGGGCTGTGCTGGAGCTGGTCCTGGCCTCCGTGCATCAGAGCTGTCAAGTGCTGGGTAGAGTGCATCGCCTCTGGGCGTGAACTGTGTGTTGGCATGGATACTGCCATGGACACCACCTCGAAGCTGGACCTGGCGGTGCTCACGTTTGAGCAACTCCGTGCCGTTGCCCAGGGCCATAACGTTCGGGCACCGGACGGCCTGACTCGTGCAGAGCTGGTACCGCAGCTTCGGAAAGCTGGCATTGGTGTTTTGCCGTCCCTTGTGCAGTCTGGTCTTGATAGCGTCGTCACGGGCAAATTTGATGAATTGGTGCATGCTGTGGGTTGCGTTTCAGCTGAGCTGGCGGCTATGAGAGCTGATAGGCGACGGGAGGCGTCTGTTGTAGCAAGTCTGGACTCACGAGTCATACACCTCGAGAGTGAAGTAGAGGCTCTCCGTCTTGCTTCACTTGGATCTCTCAAGGAAGACGTTTACGCCTCAGAGTCTGAATCTCGTATTCATGCGCAGGAGCCTGCTTCCTCACCACCCCCAGCCATTTCTAGGCCTCTGCCGGTGGAGTCCCGCTCTCGAGTTCAGCCTCCGTATAGCGCTGTTCTGCAGGGGACTGTGGGTTCTTGTGCTGCTGCTGCTGCTGCTGCATCTGCTCGTCCTGACTCTGTTCGCACTGGTCCTGGGGCCGGTAGTTCTACTGCTTCCGGTTGGCGAGATGTCGATCGGCGGCGGCATCGCAACAAGTTTGACACAGCCCCGACTGCTGCCGCTTCAACCACCCGTAATGAGGCCCTGACCAGGACTGTCACTTCTGCCTATCAAAAGCCCACACCCGTTAATACCTCTCCGAACGTGCTAACCGGAGCCGTGCGAACCCGGAGGAAGGTTTTCTTCATCGGCAATATCACTCCTGGCTGTGAGGCGACATCTATTGTCAACTGGTGTAAAGAGCGAGATGTAGAGGTGCTTGCATGCTCCGTAGCCACATCGCGGTACTTTGGCACCTCCTACGCAAGACTTACCGTACCTGAGGAGACCACCAATCGGGTGATGGGTGACTCTTTCTGGCCGGAGACTATTCAGCATGCTGTTCGGCCATGGAGGTTCAGTGACGGGGTGGGGGTGTCTGCGGACATCGCTACTCAGTGACTGCTCTCTCCTTCCGTGGCTGCGTTGAACCCAGATGCAGCGCCATTCTTCTTCTTTCCCGAATCCTGTGTCTGTTCTAACCTTAACCCCAGTGCCAGGCCGTATGCTCCTCTGCGTCATCCAGCCGAGCAAGTGAAGGAGACTAGCTTCGAGAAGCTCCTATTGTATACAACAAACTGCCGTTCAATTGTCAATAAACATGCTGAATTGTCCGTAATCGTCGAACAACACCACCCTGATGTGATTTGCTTAACTGAAACTTGGCTAGAGCCTACTATACCTTTCTGTATTCCGGGATACCTAACCTATCGGCGAGACAGACCGCCTTGTGAAAACAAGTCTGGCACTACCTCCCGGGCATACGGTGGTGTTGCAATCCTTGTTCTAGAACACCGTTTTAGATCCATACGATATCGCCCGGATCTACTCCGTCCTATGTGTGAGGCTGTATGGGTCCAGCTCACGCCCAGGTCAAGCCGTACTGAACCAATTGTCGTTTGCTGTACGTATCGACCGCCTTCAACCAGGAGCTTGGACATAACTCGCTACTGCGACATTATTGGTGATTCTCTCAGGATGATTCCTGTATCGTCCTCTCACGTCATCATTGCTGGAGATTTGAATGGAAAAAACAGCCTCTGGTGCTCAACAGACCATACATGCCCTGCTGGTGCTGCAATACAACGAGAGTTTGGCTGCTTTGGTCTTCAACAACTGGTCGCCACAAACACGCACACCGCACCTTCAGGCAACCAGGCATGCTTGGACCTCATCTTCAGCAATCGTAGCCAACTAGTGTCGTCCATAGACACAGCCTGTGCTCTGGGTGCATCGGATCACCTCCTCGTTTCATGCCAGTTTGATATCCCCATGGACCCGCTTCCCTCTTGTGCTTCATCCAGGGATTTTGTGCAGTCATCTTCTGCCCGTAAGTACAATTTTAAGAGAGTGACACCTGCCACGTGGGCGGGTATTAATGATGATCTAGCGGCAGTTGCCTGGCATACGGTTGTTACGTCAGATGTGGACGAATCACTTGCAAATATTCAGACTGTTCTAGACCGCATCTTTACGCAGCACATTAGTGTGCAGCACTATGACCGTTGCTCCATCAGGGATACAGGGAGATCACGCCTGTCGAAACAACTTCCGCCCTGGATTAATGCGGAATTGAAAGGTGCTATCCGTCACAAGGCGGAACTTCACAGTCGGAGTAGGAAGTACCCAAGTCCTGTCAACAAATATCTGTTTAAAAAGCAACGAAATATTGTGAGGTCGCTGTCCCGGAAATGTCACCGGGAGTATATCCGAAAGCTGCAGGTCCTGATTTGCGATACCAGTAATCACCCTTCATTGCATCAATTCATTCGCATGCAGAGATCTTCGGGAAATAGCCCTGGAATACCTGACCTCGCATCAAATGGAAAGTTGGCAGCAGACCCTGCAGCTAAAGCTGCAGCTTTGAACGAGCAATTTGCATCAGTGGCGGTTGTTGACGACCCGCGCATACCATTGCCGTCCTTAGACCAACACCCTTGCCTCCCGAATGCGTTTCGTGCTCCGATAATAACCACAGCTGGAGTGCGCAAAGCTATTGCGAAGCTTAAGCTTAACAAATCGCCTGGTATGGACGGCATCTCCAATGAAGTTGTTAAGGCTCTAGCACCATCATTATCATATCCTTTATGTCTTCTATTTAATTTGTCTTTCAGAAAAGGGAAGTTTCCATCGGCATGGAAAGTGGCCAAAATAACGCCGATATTTAAGGGCAAAGGTAGTAAAGCTACTCCTGGAAATTACAGGCCAATCTCTCTCTTATCATGCATTTCAAAATTATGTGAACGAATATTTTATGATCAGTTGTATAGCCATGTTGCCCCTGCCATTCACCCTGCTCAGTCTGGCTTTCGTCGTGGAGACTCAACTTCACTGCAGCTGACTCGCCTTGTACAGGACATTATCGGAGCAAGAGCAGAAAAGTTGTACACGGGCATTTGCTTCTTCGATCTTGCAAAGGCGTTCGACACAGTGTGGCATAGAGGTCTCTTGAGGAAGCTTCAAGTCATATTTAACATCTCTGACACACCGTTGAAGTGGATAGAGAGCTATCTTTCTGGGAGAAGCCAGTTTGTGTCCGTGTCGGGAGCAGACTCTCCAAAGCTACCCGTGCTGTCGGGGGTGCCTCAGGGCTCAATTCTTGGACCATTGCTTTTTGTTTTGTATGTTAATGATCTACCAAGTCATGTTTCTGGAATGTCATTGTTTGCTGACGACACAGCTGCTTTGCGCCACTGTAAAACTGTCAAACAGCTTGAGTCAGAGTTGCAAGACGCGATAAATATGATTGTCACCTGGATGTCCAGTTGGAGGCTTCAGGCAAACGTTTCAAAAACCAAAGTACTGTTTCTAACAGATTCTGCCTCAATGTTTAAGTTCACCTTTCCCAATTCACCCACAGAAATTCAGACGGTAAAGGAGCACAAGCACCTAGGGGTAATGTTCGATTCATCCATGTCCTGGTCGGCTCATGTAGATTACATTTGTAATAAAGTCAGCCGTGCTCTTGGCTATATTAAAAGTCATTGTAAACATCTCTCTATTCCGTGCCGTTCCGCTATATATAAAATTTATCTCCTTCCATTGTTTGAATATGCTGCCACAGCCTGGTGTGGCCTAGCTAAGGTCTTATCCGATTCCATTGAAGTTCATCATAAGAAAGTTCTAAAAATTTTGTTCTCGAAGAAACCTTCCTTTCCCTCCAATGAGTTGTACTTATTAGCTCAGACTACTCCGTTAGAGCAACGCCGACTAACTTGCCTCTGTATATTGGTTCATCGAATTCTCTTGGGTTGTGTTCCTGAACATATAAAGCCTTATAACTGGTTTGTTTCGGGCCGCTCAACCAGAAACAAAGTGTCTCTTCCCAAGGCCAAGTCAACGCAATTCACAAGATCGCCATTCTTCCAGGGCTACTGTGCATGGCTACAACTTCCCGAATCAGTGAAGACTTCTGCATCATTGAAAGAATTTAAAGTGAATCTGAGGGCCTGCTGATGACTGAGTGCACCATAATAATAATACTTGCAAGTAAAAACTAATCAATATAGCTTTTCGGCTGTTTCCTTTTCATGGATATAATCTTCTCCTTCTTTTACCATGGTTGGCTATCACCCACATCTTCCCGTTTTGGCTGCCATCGGAAGCCATAAGATGTTGAATAAATAAATAAATAAAATAAATAGAAAGGTGTTTCTTTGGTTGTATCCTTAGTTCCGTTTTTCCCACTGATGATAGGAACGAGAAAATCGATTCTGGGTTTTCAATAATATTTTTGTTATAAAATACACAGTAATACATGTCAAACAAGTAGCGTAGTTGCGTGATGTCTGCGGCCTTCATCCTATTCATAGCTATATAAATTATGATAATAATTATTATGATGTCACACTCGCTGACTGTATAAGATCTGGTTGCGTTGGTGGACAGTTTGTCATAACTCGTAACATTTTGTCCTTTTTCTTTCTTCATCATAGCTAAAATGTTTCATCATTATTTGGTCCAGATTCAGAAAACGCTAAAATATTACGCGCTAAAATTAGCCGTTCTGCAGTACTAGCAGATGTATGTCATGATCTACTCAACATATCAATCATTGGTAGGGTGACTGGATGTACATAAAGACACACAAACAGTTGCATACAGGTAGATCCACAGTCCGTATGGGCTAAAGCGCACTACACTTTTGTTTTCCGAAAATTAATTCTACTGTGCAACAAGATTTTCGGTGTATCTTTAATTTCGGTAATCTTGGTAGAGAAAGTAGGCACCTAAATTTGAATCACATCTAAAAAAAATTCTCGTGTTGAGTGATGATGCAATTGCAAGGACACTCAACTGACCTTTAGTACAGTGCGCCTGATTACCGCAGTCTCTGGCCCTTTTCACCGTACTCTGTACACTGCAGCCGCATGTTACCGGTAGTAACCCCTAACTGGAGCAAAACCTACAACTGCCACCACCACATGTTTCTAGTGACCTCTCTGCTTGCTTTGCTCTGTTAGGCGCTGCATCTGCCGCTGAGTCTCCCAGGTGTTAGCGGTCGTCGTGAGTTCCGTTCGGGAACGGACACGATAATTTAATTTGGTATTCATTTTATCTTTTTGGCTCTGCTCTGGTGTTCTTGTGGTCCTATGCTACTGTATGTGTGTACGCGGGCATGTGAGCGGCATGTGAGCGTGTGAGCGTGTCATCATGTTTGTATTCGTGAATATGCTCCTGTGTATATGTGTGTGCGTGTGGCTGCTTGCACTGCACTCATCTCAGATCAGGGACAAGTGACCCGTTCTGCATTCTGAGGGTGGATAATCAGGAAGTTGCAAGGTAATGTTAGGAGACTAATGGAAGATCTTTTTGAGCAGTTGTTGAGCATCCAGCCATTGTTTCTCTGCTTTATTCATGGAGTTTGAACATCTGGAACTGTGAATAACACATTCAGTCAGACCTCGCTTATTCGGCCCTCTTTTATCCGTAACCCTCGCCATCCGGAGAAAATAGCTGGTTACAGATCTACAGCATACGTGGTGCATCCTACAGAACCGGTGCTCGGTTATGCGGTTCCCTCACCTATGCGAACATTTTTGTGGAAAACGGATGTGTGCGGTTAAGCACGGTCTAACTGTATTAGTTTGTAATGGAGAATGAAATTGAAGACACCACTCCAGCTGTACTTATGGTTGATAAATATGGTGGTAAAGACACACCTGGCAATATGGCGGTAAACACACGCCTGCCCACACACGCTCTCTAGGCTGCAAAGTTCTGGCACAGAGCTCTCCTTCTCACCACCACCACCATCAGTTCGCGCCTGGTTTGTAATGGATTGAAACAATCTGGCACTGATGGCACTGATGACACTGATGGCACTGATGGCACTGATGACACTGATGGCACTGATGACACTGATGACACTGATGACACTGATGGCACTGATGACACTGATGGCACTGATGACACTGATGGCACTGATGGCACTGATGGCACTGATGGCTCTGTGTATGAACTTCCTGAAGAGCAAACATGATGTGAGACACGTTTCAAGTCGGTGGCACATTCTGAAAACAATGCTTCTTTGAATCGGTTCATTACCTGTGAAGATGATTATGTTCAGTCGAGCTATGCGCACCCATCAGACTCCTGTACCCTTTCAGTAATGACGGGTACCTGCAATTGCTCTCCCCACATTTGCTCCAGCAATGGGCCACATAAGCCTTCTCACCTTAGCATCCCCTAGGGCACATAAATATCTGCAGTTGAACTTGTTTTTATTACTTGAAGTATAATATTTCATCTACAACATTAACGGCCAAGCTTGGCCGCACCAAACACGACACGTTACTTAAACAATTCCAACCCAATTATACTATCTTTCTGTGCACACAAATAAGGCTTATACAGACGCTGATAGATAGCTTCCAACACTTTTAACTGTAGTCCATAGCCATGACGACCACGGCACAATACAGTGAACGAAGAGTCGGAATACGAATTGCAACAATCAGGACTAGCTAGCAGATGATTGTACACTGAAGACTTGCAGTTAAAAGTGTTGGAAGCTATCTATCAGCGTCTGCATAAGCCTAATTTGTGTGCACAGAAAGATAGTATAATTGGGTTGAAATTGTTTTGTTTTTTAAGTAACGTGTCGTGTTTGGTGCGGCCAAGCTTGGCCGTTAATGAAGTATTGTATTTATTTATTATTATATCAATATCTCATAGGATGCCGTTTAGACTGCCAATAATGTAGAGAGATGGGTGATTGCCAACAATGGCATATAGGATGAAACAAGAGAACCGATAAAGAGTTTTATCCGGGTGCCTCGGGACAGAAAGGTGCCCGTGTCTCAGAGGGTTTTTTGTTGTTTGGAAATTTCTATGGAAATTCCCTGCACAGGTGATACTACATACACATACGCATTCTATTCAACTTTCCGGATCACGTTGCCATGGATTTTTCGATAAGTTCTTTATCACCACATGCACATACTAGTAGAAATACTATTCTTAATTGACCCTTAAGAGCTTAGGAGCTGCATCTGTGCCTTGATCCAAGAGGGCGTTGGCATTCCTGCGGATGCGGAAAACTCGGCGCGAACCGTGAAATTTTTTTACCCTCTTGTTGTATACATTGTGCAGGACAGCTACTGTGTGGAAGAGCTTGTCTCCATTCTGGGGTGAAGACTTCACGCTGCACATACCACGCGGTTTTCACAACATCAGTGTGTATGTCTATGATGAAGATCTCGTTGGGTAAGTCTCCATTGTTTGTCAAAGAGCGGGATTATTCACAGAATAAAATCAACTACTTCTTCCACGAAGAATTTCAAAGTATTAGGAAATTAGAGGCCACATGCCACGTACTGCTCTTTTCTCTCTGAAACTCAACACTTGCAAGCCAGATATGAAAGAAAGAAAAAATCATCTGCTCAGTTGGTTAGAGCATTGCTCGCGAATAGTCCCTGGTTCGAGTCCCGGTGGTGTGACTGATGATTTTTCTTTCTTTCATATCTGGCTTGCAAGTGTTGAGTTTCGGATTGAAAAGAGCAGTACGTGGCATGTGGCCTCTAATTTCCTAATACTTCCTCCACATCATTAAAATTGTCGCTTTGCACATCGCAATGTTTGTGACTTGGCTCGTCTTAGTCAGACAATCGGAATCGCTGTTTTCTGTGTTCGAACATTGGTGCGACCCTTGCTGCGCAATGTCTACTTGTTACTGAAGCCGTGGTGGTGTCGGACTTTGTCGGAGCTCTCTTCCGCACCAAGCAAATTCATGACGCTCCACACTATTCCGCCCCAGAGCGCTCATTGTTTTTCTGGAGTTCATGCCGTCCCACATCGTTCACGTGGGCATTTATCAAGACTGCTAGCTCGGGTATAAGAATCCTGGTACAGTTGAACATCGATTATCCGACCACCTCTGGGGAGACAACTGTCAGGCGGTGTTCAGATAAGGCAAATGTTCCGGATAAGAAAAACTGTCACTCACAGACTTTCAGTGGTTATTACTAGCCGCACGACCTTTTTACTTTTACTCAATCTGCGGACAGCATGCTGTTTCGTTCTTTGTGAACTCTTTTACTTTTCAAAATTTTCGTATTTTTTGAATGGCTCACTACATGCACAGTGCGTACTCTACGTCACGTGCGCCCAAAAAAACTGTTACGGATAATCGAATGGTCGGATAGTCGATGTGCGGATAATCGATGTTCAACTGTATCTCTCCTGAATATGAAATGCTGAAGTAGACGATGGCAAGAACAAAGTGTTCTCAAATTCCTAAAATGCGCTACTTGTGGCGCATGTTGCTGCGATGGTAGCTGGTCTGAAAACACCAACAAAATCAGCGAAGGCCTTGCCAAGGAAAGAAGGTGCGGAACGGCTTACCATATCCCGCTGGAAGGCCGTTACAGTGTACTTGAAAAATGCTAGCTTGCCTTCATTGCTTGCCACCTGGAGGCATGGATCGCTTGATTAAAAGCGAAGTTTCTTGACCTGAATTTGAACGCACGTCTTGTTCAGCGTATTGTTGAATGCTGAAGGGTCTGCCTCAAACTCTGATGAAGACGTCGACCTTAGCTGCCGGTGCAGCGAAGCGGGGGACCACAAACTAAAGCGTGGTCCGTCGACAATGCCCTGCCTCAATTTCTAGCTGATTTCTTTGCCCTTCGAGTGGACAAAATAAATTCGGAAAATCGCTCTGGGGAAGCGACAATTTTAATGACGAGCGGAAGGACACACTCATTACTCCAACACGCAAGGCAAGGTAGGTCAAGCGTTGATGATCATCACGGGAAAACGTTCTTGGAAAACTCTGGACCTGCCCTGCCTTGTATGTCGGAGTAATGAGTGCACAGTGGATTTTATTCATAGCTTTACTCACAGAAGCAATTTTTCAATGTGCGATGCGACGGCCGCGAAACTGGGAAATCCCCAAATCACACCCATCGCGTAGCATGCGCAACCGTCGCAACTGGCTGATTGCAGAAGTTCAGCTTGCCTCAACGTTCGCAATGCAACAAGCAATGAGATGTGTGCTTTGAACCTTCTTTGCAGCAAAGTTGTACGAAAGGTTCAAGAGGCGCTTGCAGATTTGTACAAGGTTATCCCGGTTACCATGGTTACAAGTCAGCCATCGTGATGTACACCCGTGCATTGGGCGTAAAGCCTTTGAGGCACGTCAGTAAGGTGGCGGGGCATCGCTGACTTCTTATGCCATCCCCTTGATATCCCCTTGATGTGACTCCCCCTCTCATATTGTGTGTGTTAGATACAGCAAAGGTCACACTTTCAAGGAGTGTTAGGAATATTAATCACCACCTGAAAAACCACCACCACCACCACCATCACCACCACCACCACTGCCATCACTGTCAATACCAACAACACCAGCAACAGCGGTAGCACCAACACCACAAAAAAACACCAGCAGCAGCAACAACAAACAACAAGAACAACAACAACAACAACAACAACAACAACAACAACAACAACAACAACAACAACAACAACAACAACACCAACAACAACAACAACAACAACAACAACAACAACAACAACAACAGCAACAACGTGAGAATAAGGATTTGAAACAACAACAACAACGACCACCACCACCACCACCAACACCACCACAACAACAACAACAACAACAACAACAACAACAACAACAACAACAACAACAACAACAACAACAACAACAACAACAACAACAACAACATCCACAACAACAACAACAACAACAACAACAACAACAACAACAACAACAGCGACGACGACAGCGACAACGACAACTACGATGACCACCACAACAACATTACCACTTTCGCCACCTCCACCACCTGCTTCAAGAGTCTTTCTGACAAGACTTTGTATGCCTAAACATGGGCAGTGTATGCTTTAAAAGTTAATATGCAGAGCTCTCTGTAGAAATCTAACTCACTCTCTTATACCATGGTTGGTTTGGTGTTGTTGTGATGTGCTTAGTCAAGATGACATTATTGGCAAGTTATCATTGAGTCACTCCACTGTCACCAAGTCTGTCAAAGGTATAGTCCCGTGATGAATCACATTTCCATGATTCACTGTCTTCCTGTATGCTATAGCCAGTATAGGCTTTCTTCTAGTTTGGTGTGGGCCGGACTCCCGCGCCTGGAAATGTATTTCTTGATTTTCTATAAATTTCAGGGTTGGACCTGAATGAGCAAGTCCAAGTTCTGGGTCACAAAGTCACCGAAACCTGACTTTAACACCTGTAAAACTGCATTTGAAAGAGTATCTTCAAGCCCATTTGCAGAGGACCAATTTAAAGGATTTTAGATATGCTATAAGTGTGTCTAGTTTAGGCAGTGTAGTTATCCGTCTGATCATGAGTTTAGCGTATCCAGCAGTCTGATCATGATGTTAGCGTATTCAGCTGCCTGTTCATGATTTGAGCGTATTCAGCAGTCTGTGCATGATTTGAGCGTACTCAGCAGTCTGTTCATGATTTTCTGTTGCTTGTGTGGTGGCTGCTATGCATTATGTAGGTGTGGATGGGTGGTTTCCACTTCAGCCCATTGTGAAAGATGAGGAAGTACAGGGTGATTTGGAGGTGGAATTCAAACTGGAAGGCCAGGTCAGTCCGTGTGTTGTTGTTGCTACCGTGCCATGTTGTACAAATTGGAACTGAATCAACGTGTCTTCCTTGCACTCTAACATGCTCCTTTTCAAAGTGCGAGGCCAGCAGACTGTGGTGATATTATACTAGGGGTCAAAGGGGTGTACCGGGTACCCGGGTATCCGCCCGTTAATCTCAGGTACCGTTAGTAAAAGGGTACCCGTTTGGATTTCGATGACCCAGTCAGTACAGAACCACACTACTGGGACCGCGCATTCCAGGCGGGAGTCAATTATTTACACCCCACGCTGGGTGTCTGCATTGTTGTTGCATTTTTTGCACCTGGTAGATCTACCTCTGCAACTAGCACTACAAATAACTTTGCGAATCATAATGTGATATCAAAATGCAACCGAAAACAGATAAATTAAAATCAGGATTTAAGTGATGATTGCGCAAAAATTAAACATGGCTGCTAAAGGGTACCCGTTAACCCGCTCGTCAAGAAAATTACCCGTTCGTTAGTTACAGGTACACCCATTTGACCCCTATATCATACTGTAGAACGGGTAATTTTAGCGACTATTAATTTTAGCGTTTTCCCATTGTCAACCGGTCAGTGACGTTTTATTTTTAGCGATTTGCAGCGATTTTAGTCACTGATCACCAGTGCACTACTAATGTCTCAACGGATTAGCGACTTTGAAACTTTAGCGAAAATGAGTCGATCGCTAAATTCGCTAGGGTTTTTACGTCGCTAAAATTGCCCATTCTACAGTAGCACCTAGGCCTTGCATGGGTCTTGGCACTTAGGTAGCTGCTAGTGCTACTGCTCGCACCCTAGGCCCTGCATGGGTCTTGGCACTTAGGCTGCTAGTGCTACTGTTCGCACCGTAGGCCCTGCACTGCTGGACCTCTGGCGCCTTGCGCATAACACATTCACATGTCACCTTTCAAGCCGCCTTTGCAGCCAGCTTCCCTCTAAAGCCATTGCGTTTCACTGCTGATTCATTCTCATCTTTCGAAGGGTTGATGTGCCTTGAGCAGGACACAACACAGACGTGAACCATTACTTGGCATTAGCCTAAGAATGAGCGTGCGTACTGTTGTACTGTTGTGGCTGTGCACTGAGCAGCAGGCGAATAGCGAGTTGTCAACAAGAAAAACGATGTACATGTTTGGCTTTTCGTGTCCTCATGCCCGCAGCCTGGTCGAGAGTGTTTGCACGTCCAAGTCCTTCAGGCAAGGTGAGATACATTGAGTTGAATGAACACAGTGTGATACTAGCTACAACAGCAACAGTATGTCCCTAGCCATATCCTTAAGCAATGCTCTAACACAGTGATGGCACTTCAGTACAAATATCTCGCAACTGACTTCCCTAGCTGTGATGTTTTTGGATTTTTCGGCCAACAGGGCACGTTTTAGCGCTGCTTTATTGCCTTTTTGGATGAATCGGCGGAACCATTCTGAGCGAAAAGTGGTACGACTGTGGTTATATTGGTCATAGCGTGTGTGACACCCCTGAATAGCATGATCATAGACAGATGAATAATAAGGGTTCACATCATATTTGGCAGGGGTGATTCTAGGTACCTGTCAGCTTGTTTAACCCTTTGTGTACCAGCTCCATCTCGAACCGTACCATATGGTACGGTTCGCTGCACTCCAATCAAGCGCGCCGTTCCCCGCCGCCGTAGCTCCGATCGAGCCGCGGTTTTTTTGCGCTTGACAGCTGAGATCCCACTGAAAATTTTGATGTATGATATGGGTAGGTTGCCATTTGAAAGTATGGAGAACGAACGCGTTCAAAAGTATGCTTTTCAGCGCAAACAATTGTCGCTGTTTCGATCGTGTTCTCGCTCAGTTTTTCTGCTTGTAGCGAAGATGTAGCTTGTTCTAGGTCATGTCGACGTCTTCTAGACGTGGTGGACGATTGGAGAGATCGGCTGTGGCGATATCATCGCGGAATGCGACTCGAAATTGAAAATTTGTATCGCTGATCCCATCGCAGTATTCACTCTCAAAACAGGAGCGAGAGGGAGGGCAGCGATGGCCTAAAATCGTCAAGGCAGGCGTAATTCACCAGCCAGCGACTGCTTCTTGTCTTCTCTTTCACTTACCTGACGCTGGATGTGAGTAGCTGAACGTCAGGCGAAATTACTGGTCAGTCGGCGACACGCATTTTTCACAAATATTTGCGTTTCACCAGCTGGGAGAGTATGCGTGTACTCGAGTCTCATCCTGAGCACGTTTTTTTCTTCTTTTTTTCAGCTCCAGTATAGCTGTATTTTTCATTGCAAAGCCGTCCTCGATTGTTGTGTTCGTTGTTCAAACGAAGTGGACATTCAATCATGAAGGCAGAGGACATAGGAGCCTGATTGGAGTTTCTCGTGGCATAGGACGGCCACACAGAGACACTTTGGGATTTTCTGAATATAAAATACCATACGCACGATGCTGAGATCAATTTGTACGATATCAAATTGTTTGGGCTCTACCACATCGAGCAGAACGGGATCCAAACACAAGCTTACCGACGGTTAGGCTGCCGACCTGACTGGACAAATGATCCCTGGCTTCACCAGACGCCAGAAGTTGGACAAATCCTTTGCCGCGACGTCCATCTCCAAAAAGAACTCCATCTTCGTCGTGAAAAGGCTTGAAATACTCAATATTCAACCGAGATTCGCGGTCTCACCCTTTCTCAGATCGAATCATTTTTTGTTGTAGCAGTTGCAGGGCAGATCCCCGCCACTGCTTCAACAGGCAATGGCTCCAAAGCATGCCTGGAACAAGCCATATCGAGGTTGCAAGCCACCCCTCTCAGCAAAAAAATTGAAGAAATTCGAAATTTCAATGGTGGAAGATATACTATGAAGAGAATTTCAAAAAGTATGTTTCGCGGAGCGATCGCTCAACCTACGTCATTCAAACTTTGCAGGATGGTTCAGACGTACATGCTAGGCATGGAACCACAGGCGATGATGCCATAGCTGACACACAGAGTAACACACACAGCAGATTCGTGTGCACAGATACGAAATTAGTGGACGTCGTCATCTTCTTCCCGCTGATCTCGAATGTACTATGACGTGCTATTTCGCCTGACGGAAAAATATAGATTTTGAATCTGAGACAAGAATTCAAAATTTGCAATTTTGAACCAATTGTTTTACCTCAAATGTGTGACAATATGACCATTTCCCTGGTATGTTGTTACTCTTCATGCACTGAGACAACGCTTATGAGGTTGTTTTGTCCCTATGTTCCCAGTACACGAGCACAAACTCATTCTCAGTCTATTTGTTTGTGATACCCTGGTTGGTCAGAAATATGCACAATTGGCGCGTATCTTTGGTATTCCACCTATGGCCTTCATATACTACTGCATGCTGTACCAATATCCATGCTTACCTGGGTGCAGTGATACATATGGAGTCAGGAAAACACAACTTGCATATACAAAAGTTGTCTAGATTTCATACCATGGTTGCTTCTTTGGCTGCGATAGCCCCTTACATACATTAGATGGCTGGTACATAAAGGGTTAATGTAGTATTGTGTACCCCCCCCCCCTTGTCCTGCTCCCTATCCCCTGCCCCTGTCCCCCCCCCCCTTGTCCTGCTCCCTATCCCCTGCCCCTGTCCCCACCGCCCCCTGCCTTCTGTCTCTCTCATCCTCCATCTCCATTTTGCTTGAATGCAGAGATTTAGCTGCTAAGGATACCAGCGGCACTTCTGATCCGTTTGTCAAGTTCACGTTTCGAGGACAGACCTACAAGACCGAGGTATTTGACTTGCTCATTTGTTCACTACGCCCAGCCTCTATTATTACTGTTAATCCAGCTGTGAATACCTCCAATTTCTCTATAATTATGTTCCCTGGTTCACCATCTTACCTGGCTCTTCCTCTACCCTGGCTCATCATTATCTTCCCTGGTTCACCATCTACCCTGGTTCACCATCTACCCTGGTCCACCCTCTTCCCTGGCTCACCATCTACCCTGGTCCACCCTCTTCCCTGGCTCACCATCTACCCTGGTTCACCATCTACCCTGGTCCACCCTCTTCCCTGGCTCACCATCTACCCTGGTCCACCCTCTTCCCTTGCTCACCATCTACCCTGGTCCACCATCTTCCCTGGTCCACCCTCTTCCCTGGTTCACCATCTACCCTGGTCCACCCTCTTCCCTGGCTCACCATCTACCCTGGTTCACCATCTACCCTGGTCCACCCTCTTCCCTGGCTCACCATCTACCCTGGTCCACCCTCTTCCCTGGCTCACCATCTACCCTGGTTCACCATCTACCCTGGTCCACCCTCTTCCCTGGCTCACAATCTACCCTGGTCCACCCTCTTCCCTGGCTCACCATCTACCCTGGTCCACCCTCTTCCCTGGCTCACCATCTACCCTGGTCCACCCTCTTCCCTGGCTCACCATCTACCCTGGTCCACCCTCTTCCCTGGCTCACCATCTACCCTGGTCCACCCTCTTCCCTGGCTCACCATCTACCCTGGTCCACCCTCTTCCCTGGCTCACCATCTACCCTGGTCCACCCTCTTCCCTGGCTGACCATCTTCCCTGGTCCACCATCTTCCCTGGTTCACCATCTACCCTGGTCCACCATCTTCCCAGGTTCACCATTTACCCTGGTCCACCATATTCCCTGGTTCACCATCTTACCTTGCTCTTCCTCTACCCTGGCTCATCATTATCTACCCTGGTTCACCATCTACCCTGGTCCACCATCTTCCCTGGTCCACCATCTTCCCTGGTTCACCATCTACCCTGGTCCACCCTCTTCCCTGGTTCACCATCTACCCTGGTCCACCCTCTTCCCTGGCTCACCATCTACCCTGGTTCACCATCTACCCTGGTCCACCCTCTTCTCTGGCTCACCATCTACCCTGGTCCACCCTCTTCCCTGGCTCACCATCTACCCTGGTTCACCATCTACCCTGGTCCACCCACTTCCCTGGCTCACAATCTACCCTGGTCCACCCTCTTCCCTGGCTCACCATCTACCCTGGTCCACCCTCTTCCCTGGCTCACCATCTACCCTGGTCCACCCTCTTCCCTGGCTCACCATCTACCCTGGTCCACCCTCTTCCCTGGCTCACCATCTACCCTGGTCCACCCTCTTCCCTGGCTCACCATCTACCCTGGTCCACCCTCTTCCCTGGCTCACCATCTACCCTGGTCCACCCTCTTCCCTGGCTCACCATCTACCCTGGTCTACCATCTTCCCTGGTTCACCATCTACCCTGGTCCACCATCTTCCCAGGTTCACCATTTACCCTGGTCCACCATCTTCCCTGGTTCACCATCTTACCTTGCTCTTCCTCTACCCTGGCTCATCATTATCTACCCTGGTTCACCATCTACCCTGGTCCACCATCTTCCCTGGTCCACCATCTTCCCTGGTTCACCATCTACCCTGGTCCACCATCTTCCCTGGTTCACCATCTACCCTGATCCACCATCTACCCTGGCTCATCTTTACCTACCATGGTTTACCATGTGGCCTGACTCTGCCTCTACCCTGGCTTAGTGTCATTGTATACAATGTGTAATTCAACTGGTGTTGTGATCCCGGTCATGTTATGCTCTACGTTAGACTAGCATCCGACTGTTGAGCCAATGAATGCATGCTACCGATGTGTGTGTGTGTGTGTGTGTGTGTGTGTGTGTGTGTGTGTGTGTGTGTGTGTGTGTGTGTGTGTGTGTGTGTATGTGTGTGTGTGTGTGTATGTGTGTGTATGTGTGTATGCGTATGCATGGGTTTGTATTGTTCAATGCTAACGTGTGTTGTCTATGTATATGCAGGTGATGAAGAAGACATTGTATCCCAAGTGGTACCAAAGATTCTCAATTCCCTTGGCTACACCACTGCAAGAAGATGAGATGATCAATCTCGTCCTCTGGGACTGGGACAGGATGTCGCATAATGACTTTCTGGGACAGGTAGGCATGCATATGTTTGTGTCGGTTAATGTGTGTAGTGTGTGTCGTGTGTGTAGTGTGTGTAGGCTCTCCCCTGCATTTCCTGCAAACTTAGTGTGTGTAGGCTCTCCCCTGCATTTCCTGCAAACTTAGTATGCGTATGGGTGTGCGTGGATATCAGTTGGCTGGTGCAAGTCGATGCATGGGTGGCATGGGATGCAAGTTTGTTGATGCAAGTCGGTGCATGGGTGTGAGTGGATGCAAATCGGCTGGTACAAGTCGGTGGACGGGTGGAATGGGATGTGAGTTGCTTGGTGCCGCAAGTCGGTGCATGGGTGGCATGGGATGCAAGTTGCTTGGTGCCGCAAGTCAGTGCATGGGTGACATGGAATGCCGGACAGGCAAGCGGACAGGCAGGCGAGTGGGTGGGCCGACAGATGAGCCGGTCAGTTGGTTGGTGAACCGGAAGACGGTGGAACGGCTGCGTGATTGGTTTACTTTAGAGCAAGGACAGATAACAATTAGCTTACACGCAGACAGTGTGGGCTGGGATTGATTGCGCCAACCTGAGAGACAGTGTGGGCTGGGATTGATTGTGCCAACCTGAGAGACTGTGTGGGCTGGGATTGATTGCGCCAACCTGAGAGACATTGTGGGGTGGGATTGATTGTGCCAACCTGAGAGACAGTGTGGGCTGGGATTGATTGTGCCAACCTGAGAGACAGTGTGGGCTGGGATTGATTGTGCCAACCTGAGAGACAGTGTGTGCTGGGATTGATTGTGCCAACCTGAGAGACAGTGTGGGCTGGGATTGATTGTGCCAACCTGAGAGACAGTGTGGGCTGGGATTGATTGTGCCAACCTGAGAGACAGTGTGGGCTGGGATTGATTGCGCCAACCTGAGAGACAGTGTGGGCTGGGATTGATTGCGCCAACCTGAGAGACAGTGTGGGCTGGGATTGATTGCGCCAACCTGAGAGACAGTGTGGGCTGGGATTGATTGCGCCAACCTGAGAGACAGTGTGGGCTGGGATTGATTGTGCCAACCTGAGAGACAGTGTGGGCTGGGATTGATTGTGCCAACCTGAGAGACAGTGTGGGCTGGGATTGATTGTGCCAACCTGAGAGACAGTGTGGGCTGGGATTGATTGCGCCAACCTGAAAGACAGTGTGGGCTGGGATTGATTGTGCCAACCTGAGAGACAGTGTGGGCTCGGATTGATTGCGCCAACCTGAGAGACAGTGTGGGCTGGGATTGATTGCGCCTACCTGAAAGACAGTGTGGGCTGGGATTGATTGTGCCAACCTGAGAGACAGTGTGGGCTGGGATTGATTGTGCCAACCTGAGAGACAGTGAGTATGAATGGGTTGTTATGGGACTGGCTGCTAGTAGCTGCTAGTGGCTGCTAGTGGCTGCTAGTGGCTGCTAGTGGCTGCTGGTGGCTGCTAGTGGCTGCTAGTAGCTACTAGTAGCTGCTAGTAGCTGCTGGTGGCTGCTAGTAGCTGCTAGTGGCTGCTGGTGGCTGCTAGTGGCTGCTAGTAGCTGCGGGTGGCTGCTAGTAGCTGCTAGTGGCTGCTAGTGGCTGCTAGTAGCTGCTGGTGGCTGCTAGTAGCTGCTAGTGGCTGCTGGTGGCTGCTTGTGGCTGCTAGTAGCTGCTAGTGGCTGCTAGTAGCTGCTAGTGGCTGCTAGTAGCTGCTTGTGGCTGCTAGTAGCTGCTAGTGGCTGCTAGTAGCTGCTGGTGGCTGCTAGTAGCTTCTAGTGGCTGCTAGTGGCTGCTAGTAGCTGCTGGTGGCTGCTAGTAGCTGCTGGTGGCTGCTAGTAGCTGCTGGTGGCTGCTAGTAGCTGCTAGTAGCTGCTAGTAGCTGCTGGTGGCTCCTAGTAGCTGCTAGTGGCTGCTAGTAGCTGCTAGTAGCTCCTAGTAGCTGCTAGTGGCTGCTAGTAGCTGCTAGTAGCTGCTAGTAGCTGCTAGTAGCTGCTGGTGGCTCCTAGTAGCTGCTAGTGGCTGCTAGTAGCTGCTAGTGGCTGCTAGTAGCTGCTGGTGGCTCCTAGTAGCTGCTAGTGGCTGCTAGTAGCTGCTAGTAGCTCCTAGTAGCTGCTAGTGGCTGCTAGTGGCTGCTAGTAGCTGCTAGTAGCTCCTAGTAGCTGCTAGTGGCTGCTAGTAGCTGCTAGTAGCTGCTAGTAGCTGCTGGTGGCTCCTAGTAGCTGCTAGTAGCTACTAGCAGCTACTAGTGGCTACTAGTGGCTGCTAGTAGCTGCTAGTAGCTGCTAGTAGCTGCTGGTGGCTGCCATACACATGTGATATGCGCAAAACTCGACAGGTACGGACCCTACTCCCGTAAGCAGCCAGTAATGATATACTTAGAAATAGGCTAGGTACATGATGACTCATGGCTAGGTACATGATGACTCATGTCGAGTCCGAGGTGGCTAATATTGCACCAGCTATATATATACATGTACATGTACATTGTACTTTCAACTACTAGTTCACTGTACAGTCTGTACGTTGCTTTTGGTGTGTGCATCGATGTTTAGGCACGTGTGTGCGTTGGCAACCTGGACAAGTCCAATCCACGTATTGCATGGTATCGGCTTGTTGCGAGGAAGTCTTCACCGAATTTGAGCAGGACTATGTAGGTATCATGCATTCACTCAGGCTGTCATCATTATTCCACTACTCAGTCATGTGACAATGCACGTATCATGCATTCACTCAGGCTGTCATCATTATTCCACTACTCAGTCATGTGACAATGCACGTATCATGCATTCACTCAGGCTGTCATCATTATTCCACTACTCAGTCATGTGACAATGCACGTATCATGCACTGATGCTTTTTAGAGTAGCTAAAAGCTGTCTGGAGGATGCCTTCACCCGTACGGTTACTTGTACAGCACATGTATACATGTATCTACCCAGTGTCTACCTCATTGCAAGATAGGGCAGCCATATTGGGTCCAACTCAAGTCATTCCCCCAAGCCGGTAGATCAAACAATGTCGACCATGTTGGGTCCAACTCAAGTCATTCCACCGAGCCGGAAGATCACACAATGTCGACCATGTTGGGTCCAACTCAAGTCATTCCACCGAGCCGGTAGATCACACAATGTTGACCATGTTGGATCCAACTCAAGTCATTCCACCGAGCCGGTAGATCACACAATGTTGACCATGTTGGATCCAACTCAAGTCATTCCACCGAGCCGGTAGATCACACAGTTTCGACCATGTTGGATCCAACTCAAGTCAACATTTGTGCCACTAGGTCACATGATCTCGGCCATATTGGTTCTGTTGTTTGTTGACGTATGCGGTCTGTAGACAAACATGGAGTCCGAAAACAAAGATTTCTTCTTTAAACTCTCCAACCACGTCGGATCAGCTAGCAAATCTACTTGGATAATAGATATGTATGGTCATGTATGGTCATGTATGGTCATGTATGGTCATGTATGGTCATGTATGGTCATGTATGGTCATGTATGGTCATGTATGGTCATGTATGGTCATGTATGGTCATGTATGGTCATGTATGGTCATGTATGGTCATGTATGGTCATGTATGGTCATGTATGGTCATGTATGGTCATGTATGGTCATGTATGTGGCAGCTCATTCCTGGTACATGTACAGTGAAACCTGTCTAAGATGACCGCTCAAGGGACCTTCAAAACGTGGTCTCTGTAACCAGGTGGTCTCCTTATCCAGGGTCATTTGACTGAAAAAAGCATCCCTTGGTCCTGGTTGCAGTGGTCTTCTAGGACAGGTGGTCTTCTAGGACAGGTGGTCTTCTAGGACAGGTGGTCTTCTAGGACAGGTGGTCTTCTAGGACAGGTGGTCTTCTAGGACAGGTGGTCTTCTAGGACAGGTGGTCTTCTAGGACAGGTGGTCTTCTAGGACAGGTGGTCTTCTAGGACAGGTGGTCTTCTAGGACAGGTGGTCTTCTAGGACAGGTGGTCTTCTAGGACAGGTGGTCTTCTAGGACAGGTGGTCTTCTAGGACAGGTGGTCTTCTAGGACAGGTGGTCTTCTAGGACAGGTGGTCTTCTAGGACAGGTGGTCTTCTAGGACAGGTGGTCTTCTAGGACAGGTGGTCTTCTAGGACAGGTGGTCGCCCTGACAGGTTTTACTGTACTAACACCTACAGTAGATCACTTCCTACATTTCCACTGTACTATGGTCAGTGGTCGCTTGGACTAGACCCAACGTTACATATTTTATGTTGGCTGTTGCGCCAGTATTGTTTCCAGCCTTATTCTCCCGATTGCCCGGGGCCGAAAAGAAATTGTTGGTTGCGGTGGTGGTGCTGCTGCTGCTATTGCTGTCGTTTTTAATGTTGATGTTGCTGTTGCTGTTTGTTAGGTCCCAATCTCCGGAGGATCTGGGTTCATTGCGGATCATGGTACTGGTCCGTGAGGATACCATACTACCATCTCAATATTACAAACCACTACTGGACCTGATGGCCAAGTCTGTCATGCAACCCTGGGTAAATATCTCCACAATACACTATGTTCTACCCTATTGAATCTGTGTCTGATGCCCGCCTGTAGTGGAAGGCTGCTTACTTTTCCTGTGGAACTTTTTGATTTTCGTCTCAGTAGACTGTAAAAATGTGTCCAATGCCATGGTAACAGTACAGCAATGCCATGGTAACAGTACAGCAAGGTGGCTTTATCGGGTGTTAGTGTTAGTGTCATTGTGTGTTCTCTCGGGAACGGACACGATGATTCTCTCGGGAACGGACACGATGATTCTCTCGGGAACGGACACGAGGATTTTATATTGCTTTTAAGGTGGCTTGCTGCCCATGTCACCCAATGTGTCGTCTTGCAGAACATCATGCAGTGACCTAGCCAAAGCCGGCTCAGCCGGCAGAATGCCGGCTGGGAGGGCGACCTGCTGGCTGAGACAGCTCCAAGGGTTATTTTGGCCGGCTGGCAAACAATTGAGATTTAGAGAAATTTTCAGTTTCTACAAGTACAAGTATTTGTATGGTTGGCTGCTTCCGGTGGCGTACACGGCTGTGACACTGACAGCTACAGACCACTGTACACTGCATGCAGACATGACGTTGGTGAACACATGATCCATGCTCATGTAGCTGTTTGCTTCCTTTTTCATATTTTGTTAATTTACTTGTACCTATAATCACATTGTCACAACTGCCAGATGAATGTCCATAATTGGACGAAGCGAAAGGAGATGCAAGCTGCAATGAAAGATTTGTAGTGGTGTGTGTGTGTCTGTGTGGATATGTGACTGATGACGGGGGTCTGGGGACGCAGCCCCCAGAACGATGCATTTTCACTAGAACGTTGGCCGGCTGGCATAAAATCCTGGCTAGACCTCTGAGTCATGTATCCAATTGAGTATGTAGTTGTGCAGCTCTGATTGAATTAGGTATGAAGGAGTACTTACGTAAATTTCAGAACGGCCGGTTGCAACACTGAGATTCACGCTGAGCAGTCATCAGTTGACTGGTGGACTGGTGATTGCTGAAACTCGGAGCTGCAACCAACCATTCTGACTTCTGTACTGCGCCGGGTATTGCGCATGCTATATTTGAGCAGTAGAAGTCCGGGTGTTGAGCACTATTTGAGCAGTAAAAATCCGGATGTTGAGCACTATTTGGGCAGTAGAAGTCCGGGTGTTGAGCACTATTTGAGCAGTTGAAATCTGGGTGTTGGGCACTGTATGGGCAATACTGTGAGTAGAAATAAGGGTATTGCGCATTATTTGAGCAGTGGCAATCCGGGTGAGCATACAGCTTTCGTTGGGTTCTCTGTGGACATCATAACGGTCCTTTCATTGTAAGTTTGGACAGAGAATAACTTTTTGACAGTGTTGGATCAATCGGGTGAATTGGCAGCATTGCATAATTACTGTTGCTGATACGATCTTTCACATGAGTACCATTGTGTGTTGTGTGTGTGTTTGCGTGCGTGTGTGCGTGTGTGCGTGTGTGCGTGTGTGCAGACCAAATATGCCAATGTGGTAACGATGTTTGAAGAGACGGCCGTCGCGGACAAGACGGAAATGGCCACAATCATGATCAAGCTGTACCTGGGACAGGGCAAAGTTGTGGAATTCTTGGACTTCCTCAACCAACGTGATCTGGAAACGAGTATGTACCGGGTCCAGTGCGTGTATGTGTGTGTGTGTGTGTGTGTGTGTGTGTGTGTGTTTGTGTGTGTGTGTGTGTGTGTGTGTGTGTCCCATATGGTGCAGTGGTATGTGCAGCGATTTCCAATCGATAGGTTGCGGGTTCGATTCCCGACGATTATGGTCACACACGTGTTTCTTCTCTTTCTCAGACTCTTCCTGACTTTTCTTTCATTCTCCTGGGTGGTTACCAACAGCCAGTGCATGCCGGAGTATGTGGTGTGATGTGTGTGCGGGAAAAAAATTAAAAAAACCAAAAAGTAGGGATTCACTGGCCAGAAAAAGCCACTTCACAGCTGTGTGGTGTAGACCAGGCTGAATAGTGGCGGTCAATTCTTCAGCCTTGCAAGCTGTTGAATGGTGCAATCCCAGCACAAGTTGCTATGGCTTCTGCTGTAGCATCGCTATCATCGCCTCCGGCGATGGGCGTCCAATGGTCCAATGGTGTGTGTGTGTGTGTGTGTGTGTGTGTGTGTGTGTTTGTAGGTATGTGTGTATAATTATGTGTAAGGGTTCATACCCAATGCTGGTCACAGCAAGCTATAAGCTGTAAGCTGTAAGCTGTAAGCTATAAGCTGTAAGCTGTAAGCTGTAAGGGTTCATATGTGTTCAAGTCACTACAACGTCTTCTTCACACATTACCCGGCTCAGTTAAAACACTTTGTTTGACAGCTATCCCATGGTCTACAGAACAGTACTTGCTGGACAAAAGAGCCAGTGTTCATTTCTAGACTCCAGGGCTGCTTTGTTGGAATGTATGCGGGTACCGAGTGCAATGTGTCTTGGAGGGGCAGGCAATGTTTTAGTCGGCGAATCCGTGGAGAATAGCTTTAGGTAATTAAAGGGGAAGTCCGGTGAAAAATTTAAATTTCACAGTCCGTAGAGTTCGGGTCGCTGAGTCGAATGGTCTTTGTCCGAGGAGGCTGCGGCCTATGGTTCGTCAGATACGCCCAATCGAACATGTGCGAATTTAAGCGCGCATCACCCAAATCCAGGTGATGACGTCACAGCGTGCAGCCAGGTAGCCACACCATCTAGTCGTGTACAAAATGGCCATATTCGGAGCGCGTTCGATTGGGGAACTGTTTGTCGCAGCTTCTTCGGACCAAGACCATTCGATTCAGTGTTACAAACACTACGTACCCTGTGATTTGCAGCTCAGTAAACCTCGAGGTTATACCGTATTTTAGCCGTTTCCGAGTTGGACTTTTTCCGTCAGTGCTCTACGGCTCTAGCAATGCGCTGCGTGCATGCTAGCTGTAGTGCAGTCAACAAACTCATCACACACGGAACTACTCCCGCACTGCCGTGCTGGGCTAGCTACAACAAAGACTCGAGACACAAGACTCAGAAAACTAGTCAACACACGGACTTGTCATGTCATGTACATGTACTACAACACTCGTATCAGTCGTATTGTACAGTCATGCAGTCAGAGAACGTGCGTTTCTCCTTGCCGGTGTCGGTGGTTGTGCTTTGAGAACGAAAATTTTAGTTTTCCGCTCCAGTCCGGTCTCGTTATTTTATGCTACAGCGATGAGTGCACAACCGTGACAAGTGACAAAACAGAGAACAGCTCACGGACCTAGAACTTTCAGATTCCATAGCGTTGCGAGCGAAGAGTCGTACCCGTGGTTCAAAGAGCCTGCACTGTTCTCCAATTGAGTCGTCCGAAATATGCCAAGTTCGCACCAAAACATCACCATGTGGCAGGCTACTGGAGTCTAAGCGAATCGGTATGGAACAACATTTAGAGCACTCGCATCACTCTTCTCCATTTTGGCGACCCTGCTCTCCAGCGATCTGATAATTATATCAGCCTCTTCTACAATAGCTGCTGCTTCTTCACCAGTCGGAAACTCAGTAGCGCTCACTCTTGACCGGCCCGCGCGGCCATTTCTTCAGCTCAATACCGAGGTTCTCAGCCCCGGACCGAACTCATGAAGGTCAGCCATGACTGCATCCTCACTCTCACAAGGAGTTACGTCTTCGGGGTCGCTTGCACCACCTACTATCGGTCGCCAAATCACTTGAAATAGCACTGACACTATTGCTTTCACGCACTCCTTTTGACCTAGCTGCACGCTATGACGTTGCGGAGGGTGTGGCGCTGCCGCATGACGTCATGGCGCAGCCCCCGAAACTCAGTTTTTCAAACGGAAATATCTCGAGAACGCTTTGTCGGAGACACGTGGGACCAACACCATTCGACTCAGCGCCCGAAACTCTACCGACCCTGAAATTTAAATTTTTCACCGGACTTCCCCTTTAACAAAGTCGCTGGCTGCAGGATTACACCTGCTTACATCTCAACGTTTCTCTTTGCGACTTCAAAGTTGATGACAGCACATCGGCCTACGCATGCAGTCTGATGTCTGCAGGGTATAGTTCATGCTGTTCGATGTGCAGTCAGTGATGTGGGTGTCTGCAGGGTATAGTTCATGCTGTCCCAGCACCACACACACTGGTCTGTGCACTCGAACACAGTCCCAGCACCACACACACTGTTCTGTGCACTCGGTCCCAGCATCACACACACTGTTCTGTGCACTCGGTCCCAGCATCACACACACTGTTCTGTGCACTCGGTCCCAGCATCACACACACTGTTCTGTGCACTCGGTCCCAGCATCACACACACTGTTCTGTGCACTCGGTCCCAGCATCACACACACTGGTCTGTGCACTCGGTCCCAGCATCACACACACTGTTCTGTGCACTCGGTCCCAGCATCACACACACTGTTCTGTGCACTCGAACACAGCCCCAGCATCACACACACTGTTCTGTGCACTCGGTCCCAGCATCACACACACTGTTCTGTGCACTCGAACACAGCCCCAGCATCACACACACTGTTCTGTGCACTCGGTCCCAGCATCACACACACTGTTCTGTGCACTCGAACACAGCCCCAGCATCACACACACTGTTCTGTGCACTCGGTCCCAGCATCACACACACTGTTCTGTGCACTCGGTCCCAGCATCACACACACTGTTCTGTGCACTCGAACACAGCCCCAGCATCACACACACTGTTCTGTGCACTCGGTCCCAGCATCACACACACTGTTCTGTGCACTCGGTCCCAGCATCACACACACTGTTCTGTGCACTCGAACACGGCGCTACTCTATTCATGAGGTTGGATTTCTCTGTGTGCCAGAACTGTATGTACATGTATGTGCAGGCACACACTAGTGTCACTAGTGTGTGCCTGTCACTACTGTCACTACTGTCTGCCAGTATGTACATGTATGTATGCTGTCCGCAGATTGAGTATATGTATGTATATGTATGTATATGTATGTACATGTATGTATATGTACATAGCAGACTCAGCGGAGGACGTTCAGGTTGGTTGTAACTCTGAGTTTCATGCCGCTAGGCAATCATCAGACAACTGATACTCTGGTCTACCCAACAGTATGCTTATAAACACATAGGGCCACAGGCATAAACAAATTTAGCGCTAAATCTGGTGTGAGGTATGGGGAGAAAGCTGGCGCGGGCCAAGGCGCAACCGTGGAAGTGCCAGGAGGGTGGCGGGCAACAGGCAGGTGTGAGCATGAAAGCGCGGAAAGAGGCGATGGGGAGGCAGTGTACAGCAGATGTGTGGGGGGTGCCAGGAGGGTGGCGGGCAGTGGCCCAGTGAGATCACTACAAGTAGGGAGTCGTTTGGTGACGGGCAGGCGTGAGCAGAGTGGCATCGCCAACAACAGGCCAAGGGATTGTGTTATTTTATAATAATGGGTGCTCAGGCAAAGTGCAGTACAGTACTTGGTCAGTTCATGTGATAGGTGTGAAATTTGCGAGGCGGAACTTATTCTCATGCCTGCACTTCGAGACCATCTCAGACCGCTTGTTGAGTAGGAGCTTCTTGGGTGTAGTCAGGATGTGGAATTTTTCCGCGGTACAAAGATTGCATTTTTTTGACTCACATCTGTATGATCGGCTCTTCTCCCGCACCTTCCATGTGATGGTCAACGGCTTTCCCTCGCTCTTCAGCTCCCATACGTGTTTTGCGAGCTCAGTGCTGTTTTTGTATTTTTCATGACGCATGGAGGTCAGGTGGTTGGCGTGACGGGCTTTGAAAGGTGTCTCTGATAGGCCGATGTAAATCTTGCTGGTAGATTCTGCAGTGGCCTCATACACAATCTCCTTCGTCTGGCACTCTCCACGCAGCGGGCAGGACTCCTTAATTCTGCAGTTGCATGGCTTGGTTTGTTCTGGCTCTCGCAGGTTGCTCTTGTTGTGGCTGCTGATGACCGCTCCCATGTTTGGCATACAACTGTAACTCACTTTCAGAGTGTTACGGTTAAAAATCTTCCCGAGCTTGGATGTTTTCGGGAAGTGCCTGGAGACAAGGCTCAGGAACCTACCAGCGACGTTTGTGCTAACGTTTTTGGAGTAGGGAGGGTTGAACCATATGATCTTCCGGCTGCGGTTCTTCCTGCCCCTGTGCTCATGTGCCTCGGGCTGAAAGCTCAGCACTTCGGTGTATCCACTGGCCTTTAATGCGGTCTGGTACACGGGGGCTGCATGGTTGAATGCCTCCGCGTCGCTCGATATAGCGGAAAGGCGCTTGTTGACAGCAGCAGGGATGTTGTTGGTGATGCCAGGCGGGTGGTTGGACTGCTTGCTGACGTAGAGCGGGTTGTCATTGGGCTTTCGGAAGGGTTGAAATTTCCCGGTGTCCAGGTTCATGGTGACATCCAGGAAATCCACCACCTTCAAGTTCGCTTCGATGGTAATTTTAAGGTCGAAGCGCTTGAATATTTCCGTCAGCTTTTTTCTGAGGCGGTCTGCAGCCTGTGGGCTGGTGTCCTTGAGGGCGGCCAGTCCATCGTCTCGGTAGAGGCCGATAGCGGATCTACCGACGAGGCTTGAGAGCTGGTTGAGAAGAAAGGCCCCCACAAGTTCGCACGTCTCGGCGCCATCGTAACTTCCCATTGTTACGTCAAACATGTCGCCCTTGTCCTTCATCCAGGGGCGGCCATCGTGGAATAAGAGCGATTTCCGGGCGTGAAAGATGATGTCCATTTCACGAGGCTCGATCGTGATGAATTGCTCCGCGAACGATAAGGCCTGACGGAGGAGCTGCTCACCAATTGACGGGTAGAATTCTACCACGTCAAAGCATAGGAAAGTGTGGCGCTGTTTGTCGGGTATCTCCTTGAACCACTCGATCACTGACATGGTGCTCCTCCATAGGTTCACGGCCGTTTGGCGACGCACAGCAGCCACGATCTTCTCCAGTATAGCCTTGCTCACCACACCCACTTCCGATTTGGCTGGGTTAATGAGTCTGCAGGGCAGCGCTCTAGCGAAGTTGTTTTTGTGGTCTTTCAGTGTTATAAATGCCTCCGACTTAGCCAGTACATCCATCCTGTTTTGAAGATTTAGATCCTCTGCGATCTCCCTCGCCTCGCTGTTGACTTCATCGTAAGCATTCTCAGGCGCGATCTTGTAATTTTTGGTGATGTTCTCCCTCATCAGCTTGCTGTATTGCTCTTTTGGTACTTCGTACAAATTCCGGGTTTTATCGGCTTTCACGATGATGTCCTTAGAGTTTTTGATCGTTTTGGTGTCTTTTCTCATAGTGTCTTGGAGGCTGTCTGAAACTTGGCGGAAGCTGACAGTTTCAGCCACGCCAATAAGGTCCTCTTCGAAGGCCTTCAGTTCATCGACTTGCGGCGGACACGTCCTGCTTCTGAAGCCGAAGCGTTCTGGTTGCTCCTCTTCGCGTTCCTCGCCATTGAGGTAGAACAAGGCAGCCCACCTCATACGCTTGATGACTTGCTCAATCCTGTCAATCAGACATTTCCGGTACTGCTTGGGTGAAGGTAGAGGGATGTTCTTCAGGGAATATCCCAGTTTCATTGGCCTTGAAGCGTCCATAGCTAGCTTGCAGTGTAGGGGTAGAGTGCTCGACTGGGTAAGGCCAGGAGCGTAGACAAAATCCGTTGATCCCCGAGCTGCAGAGAGTGCTCAATGTCAGAGACAGAGCTTAGTACATAGCAGACTCAGCGGAGGACGTTCAGGTTGGTTGTAACTCTGAGTTTCATGCCGCTAGGCAATCATCAGACAACTGATACTCTGGTCTACCCAACAGTATGCTTATAATATGATTTTGTATGTATATGTATGTATATGTATGTATATGTATGTATATGTATGTATAATTATGTATGTATATGTATGTATATGTATGTATATGTATGTACATGTATGTATATGTATGTATATGTATGTATATGTATGTATATGTATGTACATGTATGTATATGTATGTATATGTATGTATATGTATGTATATGTATGTATATGTATGTATATGTATGTATATGTATGTATAATTATGTATGTATATGTATGTATATGTATGTATATGTATGTACATGTATGTACATGTATGTATATGTATGTATATGTATGTATATGTATGTATATGTATGTATGTATATGTATGTATATGTATGTATATGTATGTTTTATACAGTATATGTATGTTTATGTATGTATATGTATGTATATGTATGTATATGTATGTATATGTATGTATATGTATGTATATGTATGTTTTATACAGTATATGTATGTTTATGTATGTATATGTATGTATATGCACACACTACTGTCACTAGTGTCTGCCTGTCACTACTGTCTGCCAGTATGTATATGTATGTATATGTATGTACATGTAACTGTATACTGGCAGACACTAGTGTCACTAGTGTCTGCCAGTATACAGTGTATGTTTATGTATGTACATGCACACATGTATGCCTGTATGTTGTCTCTGCAGGTGAAAAATCAACACTCTTTCGTGGAAACTCTTTTGCAACCAAAGCTAACGATCAGTTCATGAAGGTGAGCATGAAATAAAAACGGTCTAGGCCACAAAGCTGACCCCCCTCCCCCTAGTTTATCGCCGGCGACTGAGAGTACTGTAGCTACATTGTCCAGTCACCATTTGTATGGAGGGTTCTCACATCCAACTTTCACTGCTATATTGCCAGGTAGCACCTGTCACCTTCAATTGCACATCATTTTCAGGCTTTGAAAACCTCTAGTTTAGTAACCTGCAACGTGTACTGAAGTAGGTTTTATTGGCTTGGGGTTACACAGGTCACATGACCGATGAGCGGAGCTGATTCCGATGATCCTTTTCTCAGAGTGACTGGTCACTGATACTGGCTTGTTCTTTTGCTGTTGATGTACGATTGTAGGTTGTCGGTAGTAAGTACCTGGAGCAAGTCTTGAAACCTGTCATTGACTTGATCTATGACGAGAAGAAGAACTGTGAAATAGACCCAACCAAGATTGAAGTGTCTGGCAGGTAATGTTTATTATGGTTTGCGTGCTGCTGCTATTACTGCTGCTGCTGTTAAGGCTACTGCTGCTGTTACTGCTGTTGTTACTGCTGTTGTTAAGGCTACTGCTGCTGTTGCTGCTGTTGTTACTGCTGTTGTTAAGGCTACTGCTGCTGTTGCTGCTGTTGTTACTGCTGTTGTTAAGGCTACTGCTGCTGTTGCTGCTGTTGTTACTGCTGTTGTTAAGGCTACTGCTGCTGTTGCTGCTGTTGTTACTGCTGTTGCTGGTGCTGCTGCTGTTACTGCTGGTGGTGGTGGTGCTGCTGCTGCTGCTGGTGGTGGTGGTGGTGGTGCTGCTGCTGGTGGTGCTGCTGCTGCTGCTGCTGCTGCTGCTGCTGGTGGTGGTGGTGCTGCTGCTGCTGCTGCTGGTGGTGGTGCTGCTGCTGCTGCTGCTGGTGGTGCTACCAGCAGTGTTTCTTCTGCTACTACTGTCGATATGAAAGTTGGTGTGGTGGCTCTGGGTCTGGGAGTTAACTTCTGTTGTTGCCCTACACCACTCCCCAACCATAACTCGAACAGAGAATATCGCTGACTTACTGTCACCCAGGCTTATAACATACACTAACTTACTGTCACCCAGGCGTATAACGTACGTATGATTTACTGCCCGAGTACGAGCGACTATAAGGGCAAAACCGGCTGATACATGACCGAACGGTGTCAGCCGTGAGATCATGTATCAGCCGGTATTGCCCGTATACGAGTGAGTACGAGGTACAGTAAATCATTTATTGCATGCTTGACACCCCTCCCCGGGAAACGGTTTGGAAAAGTGGGCCCAAATAGCCCATATTTCATTGTTTCCAAAATCACATTAAAATTATTGCTGCGGCACCAGTTCCGACACCCCTACTGCACTGGTTCCCACACCCCTGCAGCACTGGTTCCCACACCTCTGCTGCACTGGTTCCCACACCCCTGCTGCACCGGTTCCCACACCCCTGCTGCACTGGTTCCGACACCCCTGCCGCTGGTTAAACTCACTTATGCCTTATCATGTGTGCACTCTCCTGGCTATCACGTATTCTTCTCATTATAGACAAACAGCTGACAGTGCGATCGAGGCAAATGTGGCAACGTTAGCATCGTATGTCCTGCGTGCAATCAAAGCCATATTTGGATCTGTGCGTCAATGCCCTCCTGTCATGCGCCTGGCATTCAAGAGGTTGCGCAAGCGTGTTGAGGAGCGCTTTCCGCTACAAGCAGCTGGTGACGAGGTATGTGGTACTGGTTGTATTGTTGGTGATGTTGTTGAGAGAGAGAGAGAGAGAGAGAGAGAGAGAGAGAGAGAGAGAGAGAGAGAGAGAGAGAGAGAGAGAGAGAGAGAGAGAGAGAGAGAGAGAGAGAGAGAGAGAGAGAGAGAGAGAGAGAGAGAGAGAGAGAGAGAGAGAGAGAGAGAGAGAGAGAGAGAGAGAGAGAGAGAGAGAGAGAGAGAGAGAGAGAGAGAGAGAGAGAGAGAGAGAGAGAGAGAGAGAGAGAGAGACCGAGAGACCGAGAGACCGAGAGACCGAGAGACCGAGAGAGACCGAGAGAGACCGAGAGACCGAGAGACCGAGAGACCGAGAGAGAGAGAGAGAGAGAGAGAGAGAGAGAGAGAGAGAGAGAGAGAGAGAGAGAGAGAGAGAGAGAGAGAGAGAGAGAGAGAGAGAGAGAGAGAGAGAGAGAGAGAGAGAGAGAGATTGTATGTGTGTGTGAGGGTGGAGGGGAGGCAGGAGGTGTAAGAGGAGCGGGATTTGGATGGGGGAGGGGGGGGGGGGGGGGGGGATGGGGATGAAACGCTAGTTTTCCGACATACACTGGATTGTTTGTGTGTGAGTTCTTATGGTTGTGTGATGATGTACTCATCACACAACAGAATAAACGCAAACCTTTTGTAACCGGTGTGCCCTGATCAGCAAGGAATGGTCGTGCTTTGATGTTGTCTTTTCTATATCTGTGTTACACGCACACGTACACACACACACACACACACACATACACACTAGAATGTATACTACCTGGCACTCAGCGGCTTTCTGTTTCTCAGATTCTTTGCCCCGGCCATCCTGTCTCCCAAGCTCTTCTTCTTGAAAGATGCTCACCCGGACAAGAAAACATCGCGAACACTGACATTGGTAGCAAAGGTAAGTGTTCATCTGGTCTAGCAGTTGCTTTCATTCACCAGGGAATCACTGATTGACATTGCAATCACATGTAACCGTAACGACATAATATTATACCACTCATATGTCTCCTTGTCAACTGATGCCAACCACATGTAAACAAATCCACTGATACCAATCTCAGGATACGCCTCCAACTTTTTCCTTATATTGCTACTAATCCTACAAGTTTCCTCGGAGACAAAAAAAGGCTATAACACTTGGTAGGAGCACAAACTTCAGCTTTGTCAACAACATTCTGAAATAAAGGTTTGCTTGGTGAAACACATTTCAGAATGTCGGTGAAGAGCCTGAAGTTTGTGCTCCTACCAGGTATTACTACCACTAGACTGTAATATATTATTTATACAGTTTTCGTGGAGACAGAAATGAAATCAACGCAATAAAGAAGCAAGTTACGCATTCAATGCACACACACACACACACACACACACACACACACACACACACACACACACACACACACACACACACACACACACACACACATACACACCTTGAACCTTGAACGTGCCCATTGCCGATGGCAATGATAGCGAAGGGACTATCTGCTAGCTTTGCAGTACGGAGCGTGGCGCTTGAGGTCCCCGGGACGACGGCTGACCTTTCCACATGCGCAGCGGAAGCCAGAGTCAGGATCAGGAGGAGCAACGGGCGGGAGGACGACGATGAGCAATCTGCCTCCAGGCAGAGCGATCCTGGGCAGCATCAAACCAGCAGTCAGAAGGCACAGGGGGGCTGATGGAGCGGAGATCATCCACGATGACGTCATGCCACCGCTTGCGTGGACCATGGCGAGGGCGTGTTGCAGGTAGCTCCCCAAACAAAACTCGCTTCGGCATACGGTCTTCGTCCATCCGGCCAACATGGCCAAGCCAATGCAGTCGATATTCCCGGATGATGTCCGCGACGTCACAGTCAATGCCGAGGGTTCGGGCCATGGTAACGGAGGTGACGCGGTTGTCCCACTGGTCCCGCCTGGATACGCCAACGATGATGCGAACACACTGGTGATGAAAGGTGTTGAGAGAGCGCAGGTCCGGTGCCTTCGGCGTCCACGTCTCTGCTCCGTACAGGAGGGTCGTCAGCACAAGGGTGATGTACACGCGGCGCCGACAGCGGAGAGATAACGATCGATTCTCAAACACCGGGACACGGAGACTGCCGAACACACGCGAAGCCTTGGCGAGACGGGACTGAACATCATGCGAAGACTGCGCGTCCCGATGGATGACGCTGCCAAGGTACGTAAAACTGTCAACGGCCTCGATGGTGCTCTCACCAAGAGACACCGGCTCATTCATGGGCGAATTGACAGTCGTGCATTTGGTCTTCGATAGACTGACCGTGAGGCCCCACCGCGCCGCACACGAAATGAACAATTCCGTGCACCGATCAAAAATCGGCTTAGTGGTGGCATACACTGCAGCATCGTCCGCAAACTGGGACTCTGTGACGACATCGCATTGCAGGCGGGACTTGGCAGTGCGGTCTCCAACCAACTTTCGGCCAGCCTTGGCAGTGCGGTCTCCAACCAACTTTCGGCCAACTCGGTAGTGCAGCTCAACACCAGCGTCCGGGCACATGGAGCGCCAATACCCAACGACTGCAGAGAAATACAAGTTAAACAAGACGGATGCCAAAGTACAACCCTGACGCAGACCGTTGTTGACGTTAATGGCAGCAGTGACACCACCCTCGATGCGGACCTTCACCTCCATCGACTCGTGCAAGGACTTGATGATACTGAGCATCCTTGGGGGGACACCAAACTTCTGGAGCAAACACCACAGCGCTGGACGGGGGATTGAGTCGTATGCCTTTCGCAAATCGACAAAGAGAGCATACAACAGCGAGTCATGTTCGTAAGATTTCTCGATCAATTGCCTGGCAACAAAGATCATATCTGCACACCCTCTGCCCTTGTGAAAACCAGACTGTGACTCGGGAAGCGTCTTCTCCGAGATTGTCTGCAGCCGGTTCTGAAGAATCCGCGCAAACAACTTCCCAACAACATCCAAAAGGCTGATACCCCTCCAGTTGTCACAAACTTTCAAGTTGCCTTTCTTAGGTATTGGAACAACGATGGCATCCCGCCACTCAGCCACAACCGATGCCTCATCCCACACCAAATGCATGAGCTGAACCAGACGATCTTGGAGCTCCTCACCACCCGAGATAATCATTTCGGGAAGGATACCTGATTCCCCACCGGACTTTCCAACCTTCATGGGGCGCATCGCCGCAAGCATCTCTGCCTTCGTCGGGGGATCATCCAGCTCGGTCTGCAGTGGCTCATCCGGGATAGCTGTCAAGACAGCTGGATCGTACTGGCTCTCGACATTCAAGACGCCGCCAAAGTGCCTGAAAAACCGATCCCGGATACCATCGGAGTCCGTCAGGAGTTCACCATCCTCATGCAGCACTGATGTTTCACGGTTGGGCTGTCGACCTGCGTGGAGGGTCTGCAACTTCCGGATGCAACACCACTGAGATCCACCGCCAATCTCAGACCTCTCCGCCTCCTGCGATACAGACTCAATCCACTTTTCCTTGGTCTCCCGAACAGCCCGCGCCACAGCTCGCTGCTTCTGGCGGAAGCTCCTCATCGCTGATCGCGTGCCCTTCTGCAGCATTTCGTTGTTGGCTTGGTTCTTGGCATCGATCAATGGCTGCAGTACATCAATATTCTTTAGGAACCAGTCCGGGTGGATCCTCTTCCTTTCCCCAAGGACTTGCTCAGAAACCTCACACACACAATCCCGCAACGTCAACCACTCCTCATTGGCGCCTGACTGCCAAGGCCGTTGCTGTAGGCCGGTGGGCATACGATCTCGAAACTTCTCACGAATAGCATCCCTTGTCAACACCTCCACAGCAGCCACGGCTTTTCGTCTTCCAGATGTAGGCGTGCGAGCTCGGCGCGGCTGAGCAGCACTGATACGAAGCTTGATACGAACCATGAAATGATCGGTGAAACAATTGGCATCGCGCATAACGGAAACATCCTGACAATGCCAATGCTGAGACTGCCGCATGAGCACCATGTCGATAAGATGTGGGAGCCTGGTGACGGGGTGAGTCCATGTACCACGCCGATGGTGAGGCTTTCGATACCACGTGTTCATAATGGACAGCTGGTTTGTAGCACACCACATCAGCAGCCGTTCTCCTGCTGCATTACACTGTCCAAGGCCATACCTGCCACGAACATCAGACCACATATCACCAGAAGCAGGCTGAACATCCACACGCGAGTTGAAATCTCCCAGAACAATTTGAATGTCATCACGTGGTACTCCGTCCAGTGTAGTCTGCAGGTCCGCGTAAAATTTATTTTTCGTTGGCAAACTGGCCTTACTAGTGGGAGCGTAATAATTGATGATAGACAGGAACAAGTCCGACCGTCTCCTCCACCGCTGCAAGGGCACCCAATCACCCGCGTCCGCCAGTTTGAGTCGCGCCACCGCTATTCTCGAGCCTACTGCCGTTCCCTTCGGGAACGTGAATTCCCTTCGGGAACGGATACGATAATTTACTTTTTTCTTTTTTTTACTGCCGTCCAGGACTTGCCACCACGTCGCCACGCGTCAGTCATCTCTGGGTTGAGGACGATGCCAACGCCCTCGTTGCGGAACGCTGGAGTACCAGCTGGAGGCAGCTGACGGCCCGAGTGTAACATAGTGAAGCCAGACGACGACCAGACGTCCGCCCCGAACCATTCCTGTACGCCAGCTATTGCTATTTCGAAGCGCTTCAGCTCCGCTACCAAAAATTCAAATTTTCGGTCCACTACCGTATCCGCCTGCGCTGTCGATGGACGGGCCCTTGAAACCTTAGGGTCGCCGCCGTCCTCGACAAGCGTCCTGACATTCCATGTCGCGATATTCAACTTCCTGGCCTTCGCTTCTCCTCTCCGTCGACCCGAGTCCACACGCGCCCGCACCATTTCAAACAAATTTCAAAAAATTCAAACGAGCAAGCAGACGTCCTCTTGTGCAAGCGTCAGTCAACACTACACTGCAACGGCTTGCAAGACCATTAGCAGAGGCCACAGCAGTTGTTCCCTGGTATCCACCACACGGGAAACAACTGCAGGTATGGCGAAAAACTACTTGGAGGACGGAGCCTCAAAAGAGGCAACCGTCCTCAACCACTCCAACTGACACACACATACACACACGCGCACACGCGCACACACACACACACACACACACACCTGTCCTGTCCTGTCCTGTCCTGTAGAGTCACTGCCGCAAAAGGGTCACGTGATCCCATCACTGGGAAACTTGAGAAGAGAGAGAGAGGACACGACGCTCGATGACGCTCCAGGTGCACGGGTAGTCGCATCCGCTTGCCGCATATGCACACGTGCTGGAAGGCTGAGCGCTCCTCTGCTGTTGATCTATGCGCCACCCTTGAACAGCGATGCCTGCCCCGTCCCCGGACACCGCGAAAGCAGCGACCACACCTGTCACAATGCGCGGCACAACATCCCTCCGCCGGTGCCGACGTTCCGGTAGTTCCAGGTGGCACTGCGGCATCCACCGTTGAGGCACACACATGCCGGACCAAGCCACCGCAGCTTCTCAGCCACCGCCCACACCGCCCGCACTGACTGGCGCCCCGCTGCTCAGACACAGGCCGCGCACGCTCCTCCACACACTTATGCCGAGCCATGTCTCCTTTCCGTGCAAAATCTCGTCCGCATACCGTACATACCACTCGGGGCGGAGGCTCAGGCACATTGAACAATGTGTACACACACACACACACACACACATACACCTCAGACCTCAGACATGCCCATCGCGGAAGCGATGATAGCGAACAGCTATGTTAGACATAGCAAGCAACTTGTGCTGGGATTACACCATTCAACAGCTTGCAAGGCTGATGAATTGACCGCCACAATTTTTAGCCTGGTATCCACCACACAGCTGTTTGAAGTGACTTTTTCTGGCCAGTGAATCCCTATTTTTCACACACACACACACACACACACACACACACACACACACACACACACACATACACACACACACACACACACACACACACCACTCGCACAGGCTAGTATTTTCTCACGTTCTCAGTTCCTCTAAGATCTGTCTCTGTCTCTGCTGATGCTGTTCTTGTCTCCTCTCTGTCTCCTCTCTGTCTCCTCTCCGTAGGCTATCCAGAACATTGGTAACTTAGGGGGCCAGCTGCACAGTGCCAAAGAGTTGTTCATGAAGCCATTACATCCACTCATCCGGGATAACGTTGGCCAGTTGAAAGTCTTCTTGGATCAGCTTGTGGACATATCTGATTCTCTGGGTAAGTTGCTAGTGGTAACTGTTGCCATGGTAATTTGAAACACAGCAATGCTTGTGCCATGTGCTTGTGTTACTGCTGTGATGGGTGATTGTGTGCACCTCCTTATAATACTGATGTGTGATTGTGTGCACCTCCTATTAATAATAATAGTGATGTGTGATTGTGTGCACCTCCTTAAATACAATGTACTTACACCGGTATAATGATTTAATATGGTGATGGGTGCACAGTGTGCACTCCTCATTGTAATACTTGCACCGATATAATCATTCTAGTGATACGTGATTGTCTTCACTTGCTTGTAGACGACCACAGCATTGTGGGTTACAACTCGAACGCAACGTTAGTCATCAAGGAAGGCCACCTCATGAAGAAGAAAGGCTCTAGTCTTGCGCTGGATGTTGTCGGCTCAATGGCCATGCAGCGGCGCTACTGCTGGCTAAGTCGCTTCACACTCATGTATGGAAAGAGTGCAGACGCCAATGATAAGGTATGCTGCAGCCATGCTGCCAGCAAGTTACAAACCTGTGCTCAGGAAAGCCTAGCCAGAGCAAGCAATTTGTGTCAAACTTCTGAAGAATGCGCCCAATGTGCTGAGAATGCCCAGACTGTACCGAGGAGACAGAACAAAGTACAACACAGAGTTGTTGCAAGAAACTATCCTTGCTCCACGGTTGTACTGTGTTTTGAAATTATACACGCATAGGCATGAAACTGTACTGTCAATAATGGTGACACAATGTCTGTACAGTAAACCATGCTATAACCGGACACCCTCGGTGCAGGGGAAACTACCCTCGGTGCAGGGGAAACTACCCTCGGTGCAGGGGAAACTACCCTCGGTGCAGGGGAAACTACCCTCGGTGCAGGGGAAACTACCCTCGGTGCAGGGGAAACTACCCTCGGTGCAGGGGAAACTACCCTCGGTGCAGGGGAAACTACCCTCGGTGCAGGGGAAACTACCCTCCGTGCAGGGGAAACTACCCTCGGTGCAGGGGAAACTACCCTCAGTGCAGGGGAAACTACCCTCCGTGCAGGGGAAACTACCCTCCGTGCAGGGAAACTACCCTCGGTGCAGGGGAAACTACCCTCGGTGCAGGGGAAACTACCCTCGGTGCAGGGGAAACTACCCTCGGTGCAGGGGAAACTACCCTCAGTGCAGGGGAAACTACCCTCGGTGCAGGGGAAACTACCCTCGGTGCAGGGGAAACTACCCTCGGTGCAGGGGAAACTACCCTCAGTGCAGGGGAAACTACCCTCGGTGCAGGGGAAACTACCCTCGGTGCAGGGGAAACTACCCTCAGTGCCGGGGAAACTACCCTCAGTGCAGGGGAAACTACCCTCAGTGCAGGGGAAACTACCCTCAGTGCAGGGGAAACTACCCTCAGTGCAGGGGAAAGTACCTATATTACAGGATTCTCCTTGATCCAGGTACTGTAAGTCGACAAATTTCGGCCCTTTCCGAGGCAAATTTCGGCCCATTACGAGGCAAATTTCGGCCCATTCCGAGGCAAATTTCGGCCCATTCCGAGGCAAATTTCGGCTTCCCAGGTCTAAAACACATTTCGGCTGCATCAAATGTTCGGCCTGTACTGCTGCTGCCTGTATACACTGTCACACTGAACCTTGAAAAACAAAATTTTGGCTGCAACAAATGTTCGACCAAATATGATTTTCGGCCAAATATGATCAGGCCGAAAATAGCCGAAAATAAATCTGCGCCGAATATCTGTTGACATACAGTATGCATGTTTGATGTGCAGTAGGCCTTGGCGGATAATACTCGAAAAGGTGGCAGATTCTGCTTTTTTTGCACCGAAATTGGCAGAACCATACAAACTTTATGGCGGGCAATTCCTCGAATTCTGCTCCATTTCTTTATCCACATACCAAACATGCATGAAACTTACCAGAAAAAGTACCGAATTCTGCCAATTTTTCTGCCGGCATTATCCGCCAAGGCCTAATGTGCAGCACAACACAGGATTCATCACTTTAATGCATGAAAATGTATCCATTAAACACAGGATTCAGCACTTTAATGCATGAAAATGTATCCATTAAACACAGGATTCAGCACTTTAATGCATGAAAACGTATCCATTAAACACAGGATTCAGCACTTTAATGCATGAAAACGTATCCATTAAACACAGGATTCATCACTTTAATGCATGAAAATGTATCCATTAAACACAGGATTCATCCCTTTAATGCATGAAAATGTATCCATTACACAGGATTCAGCACTTTAATGCATGAAAATGTATCCATTAAACACAGGATTCAGCACTTTAATGCATGAAAATGAATCCATTAAACACAGGATTCAGCACTTTAATGCATGAAAATGTATCCACAGGATTCAGCACTTTAATGCATGAAAATGTATCCATTAAACACAGGATGCAGCACTTTAATGCATGAAAATGTACTTCCTCCGTTAACAAAAACTTCGTGATGGATTTTTGAGGGGCTGATTTGGGCACAAACTGCCGTGAAATCAAGCAGAGTAGGTATGGGTGATTAGGATAATGATGATACATGTATGCAGTCCTGGAATAGAATCTACCAGTAAGAGAACATTTTGTGTGTATGTGTGTGTGTATGCGTACGTGCGTGCATATTGTGATGATGCCTGCATGTGTACCTGTGTGTGTGTGTGTGTGTGTGTGTATGTGCGTGTGCGTGTGTGTGTGTGTGTGTGTGTGTGTGTGTGTGTGTGTGTGTGTGTGTGTGTGTGTGTGTGTGTGTGTGTGTGTGTGTGTGTGTGTGTGTGTGTGTATGTGTGTGTGTGTGTGTGTGTGTGTGTGTGTGTGTGTGTGTGTGTGTGTGTGTGTATGTATGTGTGTGTGTGTGTGTGTGTGTGTGTGTGTGTGTGTGTGTGTGTGTGTGTGTGTGTGTGTGTGTGTGTGTGTGTGTGTGTGTGTGTGTGTGTGTGTGTGTGTGTGTGTGTGCGTGCGTGCGTGCGTGCGTGCGTGCGTGCGTGCGTGCGTGCGTGCGTGCGTGCGTGCGTGCGTGCGTGCGTGCGTGCGTGCGTGCGTGCGTGCGTGCGTGCGTGCGTGCGTGCGTGCGTGCGTGCGTGCGTGCGTGCGTGCGTGCGTGCGTGCGTGCGTGCGTGCGTGCGTGCGTGCGTGCGTGCGTGCGTGCGTGCGTGCGTGCGTGCGTGCGTGCGTGCGTGCGTGCGTGCGTGCGTGCGTGCGTGCGTGCGTGCGTGCGTGCGTGCGTGCGTGCGTGCGTGCGTGCGTGCGTGCGTGCGTGCGTGCGTGCGTGCGTGCGCGCGCGCGCGCGCGCGCGCGCGCGCGCGCGTGCGTGTGTGTATGTGTGACTGCTGATGTTGCAGGATAAGCACAGCCTCAGCGTACAACGCATGCTAGCTGTTGAACCTGTTGATCCAGCGGCGTTTCAGACAACTAACACTTTTCAGATTGTCTACCAACTGATGCAGAACAAGATCGAGACATACTACTTTGTTGCTCGGGTAAGCATGCTACTCCTACTGCTACTCGTACTGCTACTCATACTGCTACTCGTACTAACGGCTGTCCACTAAAATTTGAGACAAACTTCATATGCCTGTACTTGAATAATTTTTCATGTTTATATGTTGAAAATTGCTTTTGGGGAATCCCCCATTCGTAGTAACCATGGAAAAATGGCTGCCATCTTTCTCCATGTGCCAGAAAAATGGAGCTCATGAAGTTGGAAGATAGGCAAAAGTTGATTGGACAGTTCTGGTTGCAAAATAGAGATAAGGGTGTTGCATTCACTGTAAACCATTTTGTAGACAGTGGATTGTCACGCAGCAGTGTTTGCTGGGTAGTGAAAACATTTAGGGAAGGTGGAAATGCTGAAAGAAAAGAGGGAAGTGGAAGAAAAGCTGCCAAGTTGACTCAAAGGAAGAAGCAGAGGGTGCTGGCGGGTGCATGCAACGTGGTGGGAGTGCCAAAGAGGAGGAGGCTAGGGAAGAAGCACGGCCTGAGCAAGTCCTATGTTCACAAAACCCTCAAAAGTAATGGTGTGAAGCACTACAAGAGCCTCGGAGCCTGAAAAGGCACCAACCTTCACACCTGAGCAAGAGCAGAAGCAGAGCGGCAACGTCACCGTTAATTGTACATCTCACTCTTGTTCTACCACAGTCTATTCATAAAAAGATGAGCGATGGCCGCAGTCTGGCCAGCTCCCGTATTTTGGCGATTTTTCGTGATTTTATCATACACAGTGCAGTGCTGCGAAATTTGAAATTTGAAAAAGGGTCTAAAAAGGGTACCTGAACTGGGATGCATGTGTGTGCGTACGTGTAGCAGTTATCTAACTTGTAGCAGTTATCTAACTTGTAGCAGTTATCTAACTTGTAGCTGTTAGGGAGCATCTCATAAGTTCGCACTTTTTTGTAAACCTAACGCATTTCGAATAGACTTTACCCCCCTACCTCCCCCCACTATTTGAAAGTCTTATCGCACATTTTCAGTGTAGATCTACTGTACTGTATATGTCCATGCCATGGTATGCACAATCATGGACATGAATGTTTTGCTAGTGTGGAAGTGAATGACATACAGTAGTACCGCATCTACTGAGTACAAGTAAGTTACATACTTAGTTCAATCAATGACATGTACACGCACATAAACAGAGTTCCTCCACAACGACTGTACTGTCAAAGCTGGCCAGGTACACGGTTTGATCAGGCTGGTGTGACATTTGACACCTCTGAGTAGCCTGCATGCGTGTATTGTAGTGCAAGGGTTAGATCTAGACCTAAAACACACCCGGGTACCCTGCTGTCTGAAGCGATCTAGCACATCCACAGCACTGTATTGTACACATCCAGAAAATGTGCGAACTGTCCATTTTCTATCCGAAATGGGCGCTACCCCCTACCCCCGTTTCGAAATGCGTTACGTTTAGAAACAAAATGCGAACTTATGAGATGCTCCCTTAGTACATGTAACATGCTATAGTTATATTTGTGTTAGTGTTCAACTGTTTTCAACTGTTTTCAACTGTTTTCAACTGTTTTCAACTGTTTTCAACTGTTTTCAACTGTTTTCAACTGTTTTCAACTGTTTTCAACTGTTTTCAACTGTTTTGAACTGTTCCGGTTGTTCCGGTTGTTCCGTTGTTGCATGCAGGATGTAAATGAGCAGCAGCAGTGGATATCAAGTCTGAGGAAAGTCTGCCTGCAGAATCGAGACATGTGGCCGATTTATCACCCGGGTGCTATGCGCAAGGGCAAGTGGACTTGTTGTCAACACACCGACAAGAATGGTAAGAACGGTACAAGCACTCACTCACTCACTCATTAACTCTTGTGATCGTTGCACTACAACTCGCCTGCGCAGCTATTCTTCCACTCCGACGTGACATTCCAACAACTAGCACAGTCAGATGTTCTTTTTAAGAGAACTGTTTCCTCTCTGTGAGTACTGATGCGGCATGTTTGAATTTGTCAGTGATGTATGCCGGTGCAGTACGGTACAGTACAGCCGGTACGGTGCTGTACCGAATTGTACAGAAAAGGGTGGTGCAGTGCGATGCAGTGCAATGCAGTATGGGCATGCAGTGCAATGCAGTGTGGGCAGTGCAGTGTGGGCATGCAGTGTGCGGCAATGCAGTGCAGTGTGGGCAATGCAGTATGGGCATACAGTGCTGTGTCAAGACTCAATGTACTGCGGCACTCTTTATGTTGTTTGCTAATGCTATTGGGGTGTTATTGTCGCTGCTGCTGCTGTTGTTGCTGCTGTTGCTGCTGCTGTTGCTGCGGCTGTTGCTGCGGTTGCCGCTGCTGTTGTTTCTGCTGTTGTTTCTGCTGATACTGTGGCTGTCTGTGTTACTTGTGTCTACGCATGGCAGCTGTCGGTTGTTCCAAATCTCACGGAGGTGTCATTCTCGGTAACTACCAAGATCCCTTGGATCCTGAAGCCGAGGCTCAGACGGTCTATTCACAGTTGTGGAATGGCTTCCAAGCACTGCGCAGCAAATACTGTCCAGAACGTCCATTTCCTTCGCCGTCCATCGCTAGCCCTTCCTTGGAGGCCGATCAGTTCACTATCAATGTACCATCTGGCTCAGGGACGCAACATGCAAAGCCTGAGAGCTCATCTGGAGCGCAGGCACGCAAGGAATCAATGCATCAAGCCATGTCCAACCCTGTTGCTTTCCGTCGTACTGGTGATCAGGACGCATCATCCTCATCACCCGTGCTAGGTACCGCCATCGACCAGTCTACTCGTGTGCAAGCATCAGTGAAGCAAGTGGAACCAAGCTCATCTGGCAATGTCCGCATGCATTTACAGCTGCGCCAAGCATCGTTCAAGCAGGCAATATTACAAGGTGAAGGTGAAGGTGGTGGTGGTGAGGACACGGATACTTGGCCGGCTGATACGACATCCTGCGATGCACCTGCAGCTGCAGCTACTGTGACCTCTGTACAAGATGAGCTATCTCCTGTACTTGTTCTACCGGCCGTCTCAGCACTGTCTGGAGTACCAGAGGCCGATGAGCAGCAGGATGAGGGAAATAGCTCGACAGCAGCAGCAACAACACCGACAAAGGCATCACCCACTAGTGATGCAGGTGATGGAACACCAAAGCAACGTCGGAAGCGCTCTCTCCGCAACGTACTTTCAGATGCTTTCACGGGTTCGTCTTCACCTGGAAGCTCGCCAAAGCTGCTGAGATCACAATCAGCGTCCTCACCCAGCAAGCCGCCGGCCAGCAAGCAAGAAGCTGGCCAGTCACCTCTCTTGCGCCGGGGAGCTACATCAACGGAAGCACTACCTTCAGCTGGTAAGCCATCGGTTGTGCGACTGCGGTCTTTGGGTAGTGTGGTTCGTACAGTTGAAGTACCAGCCGGTATGGAGCTACCCGCAGAGGCTTCTAATGCCAGTAATGGTGCTAATGGCGGCCTGCACCGACACCAGACAGCACCGGAACTTGGTATTGTCAGCGATGGCGACTCTACAAGATGTCATGCGCATGAACTGCATCCACAGTTCAGCAATCTGAGCGTGAATAGTCTAGACAGCCTGATGTCCCCAGTCTCCACAACTCCCGGACAACACCAACACACACTACCAGCGTACGTAGCACACTTTGTGTCCGAAGACAACGACCATCACTCACTGCCGCTACACCAACCAACACGTGCCATGTCTGAGATGCTACTGGATGAGCTGGAACGCTTGTACAATGCACATACAGTGTATGAAGCTATGCCAAGACGCCTGTCTGTCCTGGAGTCTGCATAGTCACACGCCACGTGCCCACAGAGTGACGGCCATTGGGAGAGAGACTATGGGCAATCCGCACTGCAGATGACCTCTGTTTCTCTCTGGTGGCCTACAACTGTACCGTGTTTGCGTGCGTATGGAGAAATAACACGTGTTCTACTGTACCGTGTATGCGTGCGTATGGAGAAATAACACGTGTCTATTTTTCTCAGTTTAGTTAGGTGCAACCGTCACATGCTGTCTTCTCAGTTTAGTTAGGTCCAACACATGCTGTCATTTCAGAGTAGTGGCTACACTACGTTGTGAAACCTTTGTAAGTAATTAGTTTGTAGAACCCAATGATGCACGGTTTCAGTAACCATGCAGGATGGTCGATGGTTGAATATGATAAGCCTTTCTGCATGCGTGATGTCCATAATCTATGTCTAGAAGTGATGCGAAGATTCTGTGCTGGCACATGCACACAATATATTCTTGATTTCTAGAGATTATACAGCAAAACCTCTTTAGTTCTAAACGTAAATGCCGCTGTGCTGCTATGTTATACTACTAATATCTACATGTTGTATTCCGGTGGTGCAGGTATTACGCGATTCTGTGCACTGGCAATATGTACTCATTGATATCTTAGATACATACTTTAATAATAATAATATCTTTATTAGGATGACCCAGAGGCTTGTCGCCTATTTGTGAAGGTAGAGGCAGGCCTGCGCGTCACTATGGGATGCTTATTTTCGCGACTTTTTCCCGAAAGCTATTGCTGTACATTGCGCTTCCGCCTGATTATGGTTTGCATTCTGGCGTTCATTGATAAATCCCCTCTCAGCTTTCACCCCCGGCATGTACTGATCTCAGACACGAGTCCTGATACGAGGTTTATTCTTACAAACCGAGCTGGCGTGCTCCTTAGAAACTCAAACTATATGGAATTTATATATTTAGAAATCTATTATTTCAATATCAAGCAGCAGTGGACGTGGAATACTAGCGGACAGAATAGAGTTCACCTGTGTACCTGTGGCTGGAATGTCGTGTGATGATTATGCGCTGGACCTGTGTATCCGTGACTGGAATGTCGTGTGATGATAATACGCTGGATCAGGGCGGTAACTTGTACAACAGTGTGTAGTGTGGCTGCAGCAGTACATGTACATTGTAGTAAGATTCCTCTCATGATGCTGTGCGCTGGTCGCCGTCTTGTAGAGATATACAGTAGAGTCAAGCGCTGAAGAACGTGGAGCCCAAGAACGCCACAGCCTAAAGCTAAGAACGCCGGTGTTGGTCTTCTGGCAGCTTGTGGGATGATTCAGTACGGATTGGTTCTAAGAACGTGTTATAAGAACGCAGCCAGATTGCTGAAAAATAAGAACGTCCGAGGCTAACCCCTCGGAAACAACGTTCTCGGGCGCGCGACTCTACTGTACAATCTGGGCACAGGGCACAGGAGTGGATGTCTACTCAGTAACTGCACTGTGCAGTCTGGGCACAGGAGTGGATGTCTACACAGTGACTGCACTGTGCAGCAGCAGCTGTGCAGGGGTGCACGGCCGCATATGACATAATATTATTGTGTGTATGATGGCTATTGCATGTCATTCATGGTCATTATGTGCATGCTGAACCAAGGTCGAAATTGTTAGGGGGGAGGGGTGCATGTGCCCCCGTGCTCTATGCGGGCTATGCACCTGCTGTGTGTGTAACGCAAAGCATGAGTTTGAGACCGATTAGTGTACCTGTGCATGCGCTTCTACAAACCGCCTTGTTGAATGATTGCTGGTGCAATGTGTCTATGATCATAGACATGCACCATCACACAACACCCAACAGTCCAATACGGCCTGAAGCAGCAACAGGGTGATAGACATGCACCATCACACAACACCCAACAGTCCAACACGGCCTGAAGCAGCAGCAGGGTGATAGACATGCACCATCACACAACACCCAACAGTCCAACACGGCCTGAAGCAGCAGCAGGGTGATAGACATGCACCATCACACAACACCCAACAGTCCAACACGGCCTGAAGCAGCAGCAGGGTGATGCAGAGCATAGTGTTGTCACTGTACAAATACGACTACAGCGAGTGTACCCTCCTTGTCTGACAGTCATTCCCGCTATACTAGCCGACCGTACGGGGGTACAAGTACCGTTAGATGCTACACTGAAATATCAACACATTGCTACACCCGCACCTGGACATGTGCTCATTCATCTGAGGAGACACATGGCTTTCATGATGGTCCAGCCATTCTCTTCTACCAACATCTGATCACTGTGGTAGAACTAAGACTGTGATTAGAATGATCAAAGCGTCACAGTCAGTTGTTCGCCTTATCAGTCACAGAGTGCTCAAGAAAGCAATAAAATGAATATACTGGTATGTACACCCTCTCCGCTTGCACCCTGGCTCCCCCCTTTTTTTTAATTTTTTTAATTTTTCTATTTTTTTACTCTATCACATGTATCATCTTTCCGTTTTCCTTCCTCTATATAAATGTACTCCCCCCCCCCCTCCCCTCCCCCTGTGCCTACTCCTCCCCAGTTTTTGGTGCACTGAAGTGTTGCTGAAGCTGAGACCTCAGGTCGGCGGAGATGCTCCAGTTTCACCACCACATTTGCGTCTGCAACCACCTCTATCATGCAGTATTCTGTTCTCGAGGTTCGTGGTTTCTCATAAAAAAAAAAATACGTCATGGTATGTCATACTGTAAAGCAGATTAGCAGTCATAAACAAAAGTACAGAACTACTTTGTGTGCTATACCTGTGTGTGCTGTGTGTGCTGGGCCTGTGTGTGCTGTACCTGTGCAATGGCGTCTAGTGCCGTCGGTATACTGTCAATCACACCGCTTGGATCTTCCTTGTGTAGCAAGAAGAACCCTTGAACCATGGCCGGTGACACTTGACCACCGTGCTTTGCGATGGCATCAGCAAATTTCCCCGAGAGCTCCTGGTGACCGGGGTAGAAGCGCTCATACATGTGACACAGCTGCTCCTTGGTGCAGTAGGTGAACTCCTCACGTACATCCACACGACCTGGCCTGATCAGCGCTGGGTCCAGCCTCTCCGGATGATTGGTAGTCATTATGAGGATACGACCCTCACTGGAAGTAACGCCGTCCAGTGCATTCAGCAAGCCACTGAACGTCACACCGCTCGGCATTCCCACAAAGCGCTTGTCGCTAGGATCTATCTGCCGATTTGCAAATGCTGCATCCACATCCTCCAAGAGAATGATGCTTTTCACTGGTGCATTGCTAAGCAGAGTGTCGAGTACATCATTCGACAGGTACATGCTACTCAGAGACAGAACACAAATACTTAGATCTGCAGCACCTGCCAGAGCTGCAATGAAACTGCTCTTGCCACAACCGGGAGGACCATGGAAGAGATATCCGCGACGATACGGTATGCCACGTTCTTCGTACCAGTGAGGTTGTTCAAGGAATTCCTGCACGTCCTGGACAATGCGGTTGGCTTGGGAACCTGCTAGAACTACCGATTCGATGGGACGTTTCCTTCTCGGCGTGCCAATCACCTGCCACTCGTGTCCACGTGCCTTGAACATGGTTGTTTTGTTGGCTGTTTCTTCCATGGCTGCATTCCTGGCCTCCAACAGCATATCTGTAAATGCAGTGTGATCGCGGCCCACTGTCCGCAGCGTCACTGACTCAAACGGTTCCGTGCCAGCTAACATCTTAGAGTCACGATTGCGCTCCACTCGTACCAGTCGTGAGTTATGCCAGAAAAAATGGAGACCGGTCGATGGCATGAATTTAAACCTGGAGCTGACACGTCCATCGTCCGTTTTCTCCAAAATCGTGTGCACAGATGTGTGCTGGGAACCTAGCATTCGTCTTCTCGCAAGCCATTGCAAAAGCCAATGATAGCTAACATCTGTGTTGGGGATTTCCATACACACCACATAGTATCTTTGAAATACCTGGTAAGCCAAGCCACTGCTCCGTTTCAACAGGGCAACACTACTACCGAGAATTGCCAGGCCAAATCCAGCTCCGAAAAACTGATTATCCCCAAGATTGGAGAATACTTCAGCAAGAGGCATTGCTACAGCTCATATGCTCCACGAAGGGAGCACAACTAGAGCATGTTACATAATTGCATAGTCTGTGTAGTTGGTCGCTTGCCACAAACAGTCTTGCACAACTTTTGAACAAGATCAGCTCAAGATCAAAAGGATTTTGTTGTAAAAATGTTATTATTATTTTTTCTGGATCTGCAAAATCTCATGCGCCATTACTGTTTCTATAGAAACTAGCCAGCATGATGAGTCACACGTTAGTTGTAACGTCACGTGAGACTTAATGCAATGATGTCATCGCAAACAGAGGATTTTCAAATCCAAAGTAAGTTCACAGAAACAGAAACAAGTAGAAAGGACTTTCCCCCCAGCACTTTGTCCTCGGTTCCACTGTTGTCCAAACTACTTTCCAAAGAGTTTGAAATACTAGGTTGAGTGACAGCTGATAGATACATCAGTGAGCTGAACACAATTTCCTTGTTGTAACGGCTAGGTCTTGAAAAAGGTGCGAGTCCATTTCTGTGAGGCAGAAAGGCTTTCTCGTTTTGTTCGATCTCGTGCCCAACTATTCTCACCATCCAATCAAACTGAGAGTCGTTGCTGGCGAGCTATTCAGAGCTGTTCGGGATTTGAGAGCACCTTTGCTTGCAGTTTCTTAGTGTGTCACTTTGTCTTGAGATCAGCTCTATTTCCATCAGACATGGGTGCACTGATATCTAGAATAGATAGCTTGAAGATCTCCGTCAATTGGTACAGGGAGAAGGAAGCTGGACGAAAGCACCTGTATGGTGAGTTCCTTCTTCAGTCAAGTCTTACTGTACTGTACTGCTGTGCTGTGTTGTCCTGCTGTATTGTGCTGCGTGCCTGCGTACTGGATATGATCCTTGTCTTCAGACTTATAGTGTAGCCAGACTTCTAAGTGATAATCATTTGTGTTTTTGTGCTTGTGTGTGTGCGTGTGTGTTTGTGTGTGTGTGTCCGTGTGTGTGTGTGTGTGTCCGTGTGTGTGTGTGTGTGTTGTGTGCGTGCGTGTGTGTGTGTGTGTGTGTGTGTGTGTGTGTGTGTGTGTGTGTACATGTATATCTGTGCATAGAGTATATCAGTGAGCTGAACACAAGGTACAGTGTGATGTGAACTTCAGGATCGGGTGTGCTTTTCAATCCGATTACATTTGGGCTATTTGAGACCAATTTTATCCAAGCTGATCTATTGGTCGCACCACCCTCCATTCTCGCAGATACACATCATGAAACCGCCAATGTCAATGTCGAACTACTTTTCATATACTGTATAGCAGGAAATTTTCGGACGGAAATATTTTCGGACAAAGTCGAATTTCGACCTTTCGTACGGATTTTATTTTCGTACAGTGCTGCATGCTAAATACACGTGTTCGCATGTATAGTGTACATAATTTCACACGAACAAATTTTAGTACGGAATTAATTTTAGTACAAAAGAGGCCGTGTACGAAATCGTACGAAAATAAATTCCGTCCGAACATTTCCTTCTATACAGTACATATGGCATAAGCCAGCATGCAGCTTAGTACAGTGTAGCACACTGACCACTGTACTAAGCTGCTGCATGCACCTGGTATACACATACTCATACACTTCTATGTAGGTACGCATACACTTCCATGTAGGTACGCATACACTTCCATGTAGGTACACATACACTTCCATGTAGGTACGCATACACTTCCATGTAGGTACGCATACACTTCCATGTAGGTACGCATACACTTCCATGTAGGTACGCATACACTTCCATGTAGGTACACATACACTTCCATGTAGGTACACATACACTTCCATGTAGGTACGCATACACTTCCATGTAGGTACGCATACACTTCCATGTAGGTACGCATACACTTCCATGTAGGTACGCATACACTTCCATGTAGGTACGCATACACTTCCATGTAGGTACGCATACACTTCCATGTAGGTACGCATACACTTCCATGTAGGTACGCATACACTTCCATGTAGGTACGCATACACTTCCATGTAGGTACGCATACACTTCCATGTAGGTACGCATACACTTCCATGTAGGTACGCATACACTTCCATGTAGGTACGCATACACTTCCATGTAGGTACGCATACACTTCCATGTAGGTACGCATACACTTCCATGTAGGTACGCATACACTTCCATGTAGGTACGCATACACTTCCATGTAGGTACGCATACACTTCTATGTAGGTACAGCCGTGGCCGAAGAAATTCAGACCGTGAGTGGCCAAGGCTCATGCAGCCCCTGCCACCCTCGTCTGGGTTTTGCCTGTGCATGAACTAATGGCAACGCGGTGCTGCTTTGGATTTGAGGGCCGGATTTCATTGAAAGATCCGCTGTGTCCGCTCGTGTGTGTAACTGCTGCTTGTCAGTGTACCAGTATCCTGGCGGTAGCACCATTAGCACCATTACCTTTTTCATCATCATAAGTAATATGTACATGCCAATACTGTTCCTGGGTCACGCAGTCTGCATGCCTGGCCTGTGCAGCATGGATTCATGTACATCACACTTACACACACGCTGTATGCATGTATGCACACACTGTCTACTATCGTCTTGAGACCGGTGTGGTCACATGCCGTATTGGTACACCGCATGCATGCACTGTCTCAGGGTTCTAGCCAGTTCAAAATAGTAGGGGCGGGGGGGGGGGGGGGGGGGGGGGGGCATGGGAAACAATTACCCCGTATCCCATTTTTTTCCACTTTCCAATAATACTCTTGCCACCCTAAATGCAACGTATGGGGCGAATCCCTGACAAAGATGCCTTTATGAACCATCTAATAGTGACTTTCGACTGCATTTTCGTTGAATTGCATGAAAAAACACGAAAATCGGAAAATGAGTAGGGGGCGGCACTTTTTCACTGGGGGGGGGGGGGGGGGCTGCACCCCCTACGCCCCTTTGGCTAGAACCCTGCTGTCTACTCGTAGTACTTGTCTTGAGGCCGGTGTGGTCACAGGCTGTGTTGGTACACTGCATGCATGCACACACTGTCTACTACTAACTATTGCCTTGAGGCCGGTGTGGTCACAGGCTGTGTTGGTACAGCCCAAGTGTCTCTCTGCTTCGGTCGGTGTAGTCAAAGGCTGTGTTGGTACAGCCCGAGTGTCTCTCTGCTTCGGTCGGTGTGGTCACAGGCTGTGTTGGTACACCCCAAGTGTCTCTCTGCTTCGGTCGGTGTGGTCACAGGCTGTGTTGGTACAGCCCGAGTGTCTCTCTGCTTCGGTCGGTGTAGTCACAGGCTGTGTTGGTACAGCCCAAGTGTCTCTCTGCTTCGGTCGGTGTAGTCAAAGGCTGTGTTGGTACAGCCCAAGTGTCTCTCTGCTTCGGTCGGTGTGGTCACAGGCTGTGTTGGTACAGCCCAAGTGTCTCTCTGCTTCGGTCGGTGTAGTCACAGGCTGTGTTGGTACAGCCCAAGTGTCTCTCTGCTTCGGTCGGTGTAGTCACAGGCTGTGTTGGTACAGCCCAAGTGTCTCTCTGCTTCGGTCGGTGTAGTCAAAGGCTGTGTTGGTACAGCCCAAGTGTCTCTCTGCTTCGGTCGGTGTGGTCACAGGCTGTGTTGGTACAGCCCAAGTGTCTCCCTGCTTCGGTCCGTGCTTCATTTGCCATCGCTGTACTGCCTGTAGGACGTACCGTTACATGTACTTCGAAGTACAATAGTATTCACACAGTTACTATGGTGTTGGAGATTTGTTGAATGGAACGTCGCTGGTGCTATTCACCATGTAGTGTGCGGAAGGGGAGGTTGCTATTCACCTGTAGTGTGCGGAAGGGGGGTTGCTATTCACCTGTAGTGTGCGGAAGGGGAGGTTGCTATTCACCTGTAGTGTGCGGAAGGGGGGTTGCTATTCACCTGTAGTGTGCGGAAGGGGAGGTTGCTATTCACCTGTAGTGTGCGGAAGGGGAGGTTGCTATTCACCATGTAGTGTGCGGAAGGGGAGGTTGCTATTCACCTGTAGTGTGCGGAAGGGGAGGTTGCTATTCACCTGTAGTGTGCGGAAGGGGAGGTTGCTACCTGTAGTGTGCGGAAGGGGAGGTTGCTATTCACCATGTAGTGTGCGGAAGGGGGGTTGCTATTCACATGTATAGTGCTGAAGGGGAGGTTGCTATTCACCTGTATTGTGTGGAAGGGGAGGTTGCTATTCACCGGTATTGTGTGGAAGGGGAGGTTGCTATTCACCTGTGCGGAGTGTGCGGAAGGGGAGGTTGCTATTCACCACGTAGTGTGCGGAAGGGGAGGTAGCTACCTGTAGTGTGCAGAAGGGGAGGTTGCTATTCACCTGTATTGTGCGGAAGGGGAGGTTGCTATTCACCTGTATTATGTGGAATTGGAGGTTGCTATTCACCTGTATTGTGCGGAAGGGGAGGTTGCTATTCACCTGTATTATGCGGAAGGGGAGGTTGCTATTCACCTGTATTGTGCGGAAGGGGAGGTTGCTATTCACCTGTATTATGCGGAAGGGGAGGTTGCTATTCACCTGTATTGTGCGGAAGGGGAGGTTGCTATTCACCTGTAGTGTGTGGAAGGGGAGGTTGCTATTCACCTGTATTGTGTGGAAGGGGAGGTTGCTATTCACCTGTACGTTACGTAGTGTGCTGGTCATGGGACACTTTGTCAGTCTGCACCGGGCTAATAGCTGCATGGTAATGGAAATGGGATTGGGTTGAAAAACTGGAGTGCCAACATGTATATCGACATACATGTTGTTGTACTGTCCTCTTTACTGATAATCGCTTGATGTTGGCGATCTATTGGTGGGTGATTTATTGATTTCTGTGTGTCTGCGTTTTCCCAGTAACATTCTCTTATCTATGTATTGATGTTCTTGACTTAGCCACGAATTCACCAGTGTTGCAAAGCAGAATTGTTTTCTTGTGTTCTAGTGTTCTAGTGTATGATGTGTTCTAGTGTATGATGTGTTCTAGTGTATGATGTGTTCTAGTGTATGATGTGTTCTAGTGTATGATGTGTTCTAGTGTATGATGTGTTCTAGTGTATGATGTGTTCTAGTGTATGATGTGTTCTAGTGTATGATGTGTGCTTGATGTACAGTGCTGCTCAATGAAATCCAGTCGTGTCACTCAAGTTTGCACCTTGAACCATTTCACAGCCCAGTGTTTGCAGGTCTAGAGCTGCGCAACGCCCGGCGTGTACTTGAGTAACGCGACTGGATTTCGTTAAGCAACACTGTACAATATTTGTTTTACCAGTATAGCGTGTAGTACTGGTAATTTGGTGATTTGGTGATTTGGTGATTTGAACCTCTGCACTGGTTCTTGTTTTCCTCTTCCACAGATCCAGTAGTATTTTGGATGCAAATGGGTGTCATCTCCTATTTGGTGTGAAGGCCACACCGAAGTGTCAGCAAACAGTGGGTAACCATTGTCAATGTTATCAGTGCCCATCAGCTAGTTATCAGTGCCCATCACTGGCATCAGCTAGCACTAGTACCAGTGCCAGTCAAAGGGATGCTGCTGCTGCTGCTGATGATGATGCTGATTGTGTTCATCAAAGGCATGCTGCTGATGGCGCTGCTGGTGCTGATTGTGTAAGTGCTGGTGGTGCTATCAGAGGTATGGGTGTAGTCAGTACGCCGTCCAACTTGCAACCTCCACCTGCAAGTGAAGTCACTACCTCTACAGAAGCAGCGTCCACGCAGGATGTACCAACGTCAGCGGATACAAGATCAAGACCATGCACGCCGTCGTCTTCATCAACGGCACCATCACCTTCGCCACTAGCAACAGCATCAGCAGCAGTAACTACAAGAAGTGATCTCAACGGATCTTCACAGCATGGCTCATCTTCAAATCACTCCGACTGTTCTGCCAGTAGTAACGTCTTACCACCCTGGAATCGTATCTTGTGTGACAAGGTATGTACGACTTGTATCTCGTTTTCTTAACTTTAAAAATGGTGGTGATGGGAGGAGGAGGGGGGGGGGGGGGGGGTATTCTGTATTCATTGTACTTTGAAGTAGACATTTTAGACATTTTAGGATGTTTTGAGTAGGTTGAAGTGAATATTGCTTCAGGCCTCGAGTGACCTAGAGTACAAGTTAGTTACTGTAGTAATTTTGGTGTGTAGAATAATGTGGAGTATACTCATATCCAAACCACACACTATTCAGCGCCAAGACTCACGCATGAGGAGAACTTTTCAGTTCTCTTGTGATTGCCTCAGCATGAAGCTTTGAGCTACAACTTCATCCAAGCCCCCCCCCCCTTCTCTTCTTACTTAATACAGGTATAGTATGTCATATACTGAAGTATGAAGTAGTACTCAGTTTTGTACATGTAGCTTTGCTTCGGCAATGGTCTCCACTAGTAGTCGAGTGTGCTATGGAGCTTGTTTTGCTGCTGCTGCTGCTTCTGCTTGTACTGCTGATTCTGCTTGTACCGTAAAGTACCGTTGATCCGCCCCCACGCCATGTCGCTTCCCAGCTGGGTTTTCGGCAGGGGGCGGGAATTAGATCAAGGCTGTCAAGTGCAGATCGCTGTACAACAACGTAGAAGTTCAGACTCGATGTGCTGGATTGTGCACATTTTCATCCTGGATTGGCAAATTTGGTGTACAGCAGTGCATGCGTCGGTTCAACATCGTATTTTCGTTGTATACGCCGAAGTCGCTTCACAGGTAGAAAATCAACAGGGGGCGGGAATTAGAGAGGGGGCGGATCAACGGTACTTTACGGTACTATTGCTGCTTCTGCTTCTGCTTGTACTGCTTCTGCTGTGATCACTTATGGCATGGTCACTGGTGCATCTCCATTTTACCCTCAGGTCCATCACTCATCAGGAGAAATACGTGACAGTCGTCTTCTAATCTTAGATGAGTTTCTACGTCTGCGCTATCTTATTCTGGAACACAGCTCATTAGTACTAGAAACTGATGATGTGATGAAAACGTAAGGCATACTCGTATCTTATTGCCAAGTGTGTATTTACCACCGTATGAATCAAACATAATCGTATCGCTGTGAATACATGTATCGTATATGATGTACAGTCACCCCGCAAGCTAGCACCCTTGACAAGTCAGCGAGATTTTTAGCAACCAATATAATTATTCCTTTTATGTACATGTACACCATTATCCATAGCAGTACATTTCTTAAGGTACGCCTGATGATGGCCCCTGGCCGAAAATTTGATTCAGACATTAGTAATTTGCAGCGAAGAGACCACTTGATTTGAGGATGGTGTGTGTAGGGTTTCACCATAGCAGTAATTCAGATAATTATAATAAAATTTAATATTACGTTAATCCAGCATGCTCGCTTATCCAGCACAAATGGTGCTGGATAAGCGAGGGGCCACTTTGATTGCTGTGGCCATATTTGCGTTTTGGGAAGGTATGACATCATTGCCGAACGACACTATTCCTGATGTGTTCTGGCATGTGGTTGTGTGTTGACAGAGTTGATACGCTATGTTCAAACATCTCCAGTAGCCTTGGTTCAGCTGGCGAGAGTGTTTGCTGTGTGTGCTGTTCTCACCGCGTTGATGTTCTTCTACCATGTATGCACGCCTACTGCTCACCATGTATCTCACAATG